AGTAGTAGTAGTAGCGGTCGTAGTCGTAGTCGTAGTCGTAGTCGTAGTCGTAGTCGTAGTCGTAGTCGTAGTGCTTGCTCGAGCGGGGGGGGTGCTCCTCAGACGGTGGCGGGGCTTCTCGGGAACCCTCGCGCCGTCGGGGAAGCCGTCCCTGCCCTCGGGCAAAGCCTAGAGGTCTTCCAGAAGGCGCGATGGCGTCTGAGAAGCCCCGTCGCCTTTGGAGCAGGCCCGTCCCCTCTCGCTTCCCCCCCAGGGCTCGCGGCCGATGCACAGCAACCGTCGGCTTACACACGCACACACAAACACACACACACACACAACACACAGCACACAACGCACAGCACACACAACACACAGCACACAACACACACACAACACACAACACACACACACACACCACACAACACACAACCCACGCACAACACACACACACACACAACATACACACAAAACGCAACACACACCACACAACACACACACACCACACACCACACACCACACACACCACACCCACCACACACTCCACACACACCACCCACACACGCCACACACATCGGCACACAGAGACACAGGCACACAGACACACATACACAGACACAGACACAGGCACGGGCACAGACACAGCCACAGACACATACACACACGCATACACATACACATACAAGTACCCTGTGACGTACCCGACCCTTTCTACACATGTGGCGGTTATACTCAGGACCACTCAGTGCTGACTGGAATTCTGAAGGACCCGCAGTGCGCAAGAAGAGCACCCAGCAGTGATTTCAGAAGAGCGCAGCAAGACGAGGAACGGCAAATCAGAAGCCCCCCAGGGGGCGGCGAGGTCCCGACGTGATCCGCGTATGACGTACCTCCGCTGGGTCTCCCAGGAGCCAGCGAACGTGGTGACAATTGCGCAGATCGCAAGCCCCCAGGGGGCGGCGAGGTCCCGAGGTGGTCTGCGTATCACGCACTTCCGCTGGGCCTCCCATGAGCCCACGAACGCGGCGACAATTGCGCAGATCGCAAGCCCCCCAGGAGGCTGCGATGTCCCGAGGTGGGCCGCGTATGACGTACCTCAGCTGGGCCTCCCAGGGGCCCACGAACGTGGCGACAGTTGCGCAGGTTACAAGAGCCCCAGGGGGCGGCGATGTCCCGAGGTGGTCTGCGTATCACGCACTTCCGCTGGGCCTCCCAAAAGCCCACGAACGTGGCGACAGTTGCACAGATCGATAGCACCCCATGGGGGTGGCGATGTCCTGTGGTGATCCGCGTATGACGTACCTCCGTTGGGCCTTCCATGAACCCACGAACGTGGCGACAGTTGCGCAGATCGCAATCCCCCCCCCACCCCAAAAGGGGCGGCGAGGTCCCGAGGTGGTCCGCGTATGACGTATCTCCGCTGGGACTCCCAGGAGCCCACGAACGTGGCGACAGTTGCGCAGATCGCAAGCCACCCAGGGGGCGGAGAGGTCCAGAGGTGGCCCGCGTACGACGTACCTCCGCTGGGCCTCCCAGGAGCCCACGAACGTGGCGACAGTTGCGCAGATCGAAAGCACCCCAGGGGCGGCGAGATCTCGAAGTGATCCGCGTATGACGTACCTCCGTTGGGCCCCCCAGACGCCCACGAACGTGGCGACAGTTGCGCAGATCGCAAGCCCCCCATGGGGGCGGCGAGGTCCCGAGGTGATCCGCACATGACGTACCACCGCTGGTCCTCCCAAACGCCAGCGAAAATGCCGACAATTGCGCAGATCGCAAGAGCTATAGTGGTGGTCCGCGTATGACGTACCTCCGTTGGGCCTCCCAGGAGCCCACGAACGTGCCGACAGTTGCGCAGATCGCAAGCACCCCAGGGGGCGGCGAGGTCTCGAAGCGATCCGCGTATGACGTACCTCCGCTGGGCCTCCCAGGAGCCCACGCCCGTGGCGACAGTTGCGCAGATCGCAAGCCCCCGAGGGCACCGCGAGCTATAGTGGTGATCCGCGTATGACGTGCCTCCGCTGGGCCTCCCAGGAGCCCACGAAAGTGCCGACAGTTGCACAGATCGCAGGCACCCAGGGCACCGCGAGCTACAGTGGTGATCTGCGTATGACGTACCTCCGCTGGGCCTCCCAGGAGCCCACGAAAGTGGCGACAGTTGCGCAGATCGCAGCCAGTGATCGCAACCCCCAGGCAAGGCCACCCAACAGACAAGACGGCGAGGCAGGAATCTGGAACCAGACGGCAGGAGAGCACAGAAGGCAGGAGCGAGGAGGCGGGAGAAGGAGGGTGGAGACCACACTGCTCTATTCAAAACGAGAACCCAACACAGGAGGGTTGGACACAAATGTTTGCTGCATGAGGTTGCTTGGCAGATCTTGCTCGGCCGTGTTCGTATCATGTGTCGGTTGCCACCGCCCGCGCGATGAGTGCTGCACATTTCCTCCTTGCTGGCGCTTGTGGGGTGAATCCCCTGGAGTGCCAAACTGCGCTGCCTCATTCCCTGAACCTGGAGGCTCGTTGACAATCTGGGGAAGACGTAAGACTCGAGTCCGTCGGAGCTCGGGTTTGCCGATTGAGCAGTCTAATTTTCGTGGGATGGTTGCAGAGGGAACTCGCGTCAACTTCCAGATTGGGTCTCGCCATTTTTCAGTCGAGCCTGTGAGGCCAACTCGAGTCCTCCGCACTTGAGTCTTACGTCTCTCCCCCAACTATGAGCGCTCGGAGACCAGTCGATGATGGTGCTACCCCTTCCTGGTCTCCTCATCATCCATGCCCTCTTTTTCTCTTGCACCATGCGCCGTTGGCTCCTCCTCATGCCTCGTATGGCATCAAGTTTTGCGCAAGTAGTCTTGCCAGCGCATCCGTTCTGATGCGAGGCTTCCCCAGCGGCTGTGGAACATGTGGCGCGGGGCCCGCCGGAACGATGTCCGCGCATCGTGCCGCGCCCGCGCGCAGTTTTGTCGCAGCGCTGTGGACGCCGCGTCAGAGAGAAGTCAGTGGCAGCGGGAAGAACGATTGACTGCCGTTCTGGCCGCATCGCTTCTCGTTTCACCTTTCTCACGCGCCCACTCGCGTGTCTGGTGCCTACTCGGCCTCTGGTTCTTCTCTCTCACGTGCCCACTCGCGTCTCTGGTGCCTACTCGGCCTCTGGTTCTTCTCGGCAACCGCAAGCGGTGCGACTCTGGTCGCCTAGGCTACTGCGAGCGTGTTTTAGAGCTGCTGCCGCAGGCCCCGCTAGTCTCTCCTCCCCTCCTCCCGTTTTCCTGCTCCCTCCCACTCTCAATCCAGATACGTTCTGCAGTGCCTGCGGCGCGTCCCCAGTCCATCCTACCGTTTTGCTGCCCCTGGTGCGGGGAACCGTGCCCCTGAAAAGGCACCGCGAGCCTGGCCATCCTGTTGGCGGGCTGCGCACCGGTGAGGGTGCAAACCCGCCCCCTACTCCCCTTGGGATCATTGCCGAAACCCAGGCAATTACTCTGTCGGAGGGGAGGGGCGTGTTCGGAGGAAGGTGGTTCTCAGGAGGGCGGGGGGGGGAGGGTGATTTTCCGTGGAGGACGGGGGGTGCTTCGGGAGGAGTGGCCGGTTCTCAGAGTGGGGGAGCCGCGGAGGGGTGCGCTTCCAGAAGACGGGGGAGTTTCAGGGGGTGCGTTTCCCGCGGAGGGGGGGCTCTTGCGGAGGAGGGTCACTCGGAGGTTGCGAGAGGTGCCCCTGGCCGAAGGTGCTCCCAGCTGTTCGCTTCGTTCTGGAGCCCCTCGGCCCCCCTGAGCCCCTCCTGAGGGGTGCTCTGGAATCGAGCACGAAACAATGCCATAAACAAAAACTTTTGGCGCTCCGCGCGGGTTTCTTGGATCCGCGCTGGGCCCCCCTGGCGGCGCCTTCCTCCTCCGTTCTAGTAACACCCGAGTTACTCCAAGGCTTGCGCGCTGCGCCGTCTGGATCTCGGGCTCCCACCATGAAGCATCCGTACCTCGAGGGCTGCGCCCTTTGCCTAAGGTTAAGTCGGGCCTGCCCCTCTCTACAGGAGGCATATTCCAAAATAGTCAAACATCGTCTGGGGACGATGTTTTAGTATTGTTGAACATTTTTAGAATCTTGTTTGACTATTTTTCATTTTTCGCCCAAAATCCGCCTGTGGGGGGACATGCCCGACCTAAGCCTAGGGTCCCGTAAGGCTGAACAATTTCGCTGCCAGTTGTCGAATCAGACGAGGAAAGGGTACTACTGCTACTCTTCGGCCGTTTCCCGCTCCTTCCGCCTCCGGGGTGGCCCGGCCCTCGTCCCCACCGCCAGATTCGCCCCGAAAGCCTGGTCAGGCAACGCAACCCGGGAGAGAGGTCTGGGGAGTAGCGGTATCGATACCTTTTTTAGTTTCCCCATCGAAGGCGCCAAACGACGGCGAGCAAGCGCCGTCCCCTGCGGGAGTCGGCTGGGGGTCCGAGGTGGCTCCCCAGTGGTTCCAGCAAGCAGGAAGGGCGGAGAAGAGGCTCGAGTTGCTGGGTTCGAGAGGGTTATATGGGTCTTTTTCGGTCCCTGGGGCCTTTTTCGAGCCCAAGGACCGTCAGAAATGGATCGGGGGTGAAACTAGGGAGGAGGAGGAGGGGGAGGAGAAGGATGAGCAGGAGGAAGCGGAGGCTTTCGGTGGCCCCTTGGGGCCCCAGGGGCTGACGACCATCGAAAGCCTCGCGTCCCGATTTTTCAAGAACGCGAGGGGGCCTGGGTTCGGGTGTCAAAGCTGCCCCCCAAATCTGTCCAGGGGTGCTTTCTGGCGGGAAGTTCGCAGGGCACCCGGCCGTGACGACGAGAAACTTCCCAGACGTGTTGACACTAGGAACGGACGCAGACAGAAAACGCAGAGCACAGCGAAAAACATGTGTCCTCGCACGTCGAACCTCGATCCTCCTTCCGCTCCTCCCGGGGGCAACCTTGGGGAGGGGAGGGTCGGCTCCAGGGGGAGGGGGAGGGCATCGACCCCTGCTCGCCCACCGAGCGCCCACAAGGGGCCGTGCGGCCTCGCTGTCGTTCAGTCGGGCATGTCCCTCTACGGGAGGAAGACTCAAGAATAGCCAACCAGCAGTCTGGGGACGGTTTTCCGACCATCCTTGGCTACAGTTGAATAATTTTCGACTGTCCCCCAACCCAACTTTCCTGTGGTGTTGGGTCCTCGTTTTGAAGAAACAGCGCCCCGCGTCTCCTCCTCTCCTGTAATCGCAGATCATGCAAATATGTCGCGCGGCAGTGGCCTCAAGGACACAGCCCGGCGGCAAGGCCGGCAGTCCTGCACAGTCTCCCTCTTTGCGACTGCCATGGTTTGTCTTCTATTCAACGATGGCCAGCGTCAGGGCCAGCTCTCGTGCGTCCACTGATTATGAACGCACGTCGCGAGGCATTCGCCTCAAGGACACAGTCTGGCGGCAAGGCTGGCAGTCCTGCATAATCTCATTCTGTCCGGCTAACATGGCTTGTCTCCTGTTAGACGTTGTCCAGCGTCCGTGCCAGCTTCCGTGCATTCACCGATTATGCACGCACGTCGCGAGGCATTCGCCTCAAGGACATAGCCCGGCGGGAAGGCCAGCAGTTCTGCGTAATATCATTATGTCCGGCTACCATGGTTTCTCTCCCGGTAGACGCTGGCCAGCGTCCGGGCCAGCTTTCGTGCATCCACAGATTATGGTCCACAGCGTTCGCGGCGCCACGCGGGGGGGGGGATGCAGCGTCCGCGAGAGACGCGTCATACGGTCTCACGGCGACCCGGAGCTTCGTGGCGCAATGGTCAGACCGAGCCAGCAGCGTCGGGCCGAGGCCTCTGCTCCAGCGCGGGCGCGCCCCGCCGCCGTCGCCTCGCAGGCTGTTGCGCGGCGCACAGAATTGACTGCATCAGTCAGGCTCACGCCACGGGCTGGCAAAGGGAGCCCCTGGACGCCAGGCAGCTACGGCGAGAACACCCTCTCGTGCTGCGCGGGCCTCGCGGCCACGCTCGCCTTAACCTTTAAACTTCTCCTCTATCCCCCTACCTCCCCTCATCGCCCTTGGAGGATGTGGAGGATTCTCACACGTTTCGTGCGTCCAGCGCATTGAGGCGCGTCAGTCGCGAGCGGGAGTAAGCATGCGTATCCGGACGGGATACACTGTGGCTGGCGGCTCTGCGGCGCATTCCTTCCCATTGCGGTCCGAGGCACCAGAGCGGTGCCCAATGAAAATAACCGCACCCAGGAGTGAGGAGGACGAAGATGAACTCCCCAACCTCATCCCTACTCCCCTCCCCTCCTCAGTCCGCATGCTCCGAACCCGTAGGCACGACGGAGCTGGTCTTGGGTATACCATGCCATCCATGGTTCCTTTGCCAGCGCACGTCTGGCAAAAATCCCCAGCGGTATGTTCGAGGCCACGTCAGGCCCAAACCCCCGGCGTGTCCTCCTAGGCCTCGTCAGGCCGTACTCTCCGGCAGTGCTTGCGCAGTCAGCGGATCGTTATGGTTATTCTACGTGGCCGTGGATCGGTCGTGTTCTTCACGAGGAGCGTCAAGGGCCCCCCAAGCACCCTCAGTGACAACATTCAGTATCGCGCATTTTCTGGCAGGCTCGGGAACATTTGCTTCGATTGGGCGTGACGGCCCGGCCGCGATCGCAAGGTTGGGGCGTGCCGGCATATCCGCAATCACCCGCTGCCGCACGTTCTGGCCCTAGATTGTTGCGGCCGGTGGGGCGGACAAATCGTGCCCCCCATTCAGGCACTCTCCGAACACTGGTTAGCTGGACAACTCACCGGTGCACTGCGGCAGCGCCCCGTGGGGCGAACAAATCGTGCCCCCCCCAGGCACGCGCAGGACACTGGTTAGCTGGACAGCTCACCGGTGCACGGCGGCTGCGCCCCGCGGGGCGGCCAATTCGTGCCCCGTCTGGGGCACCTGCAGAACGCCGGTTAGCTGGGCAGCTCACCGGTGTCCTGCGGTTGCTTCGACCTCGTGGCAGCAAAGAGCGACTCGGACTCTGTCTCTCGCCCGCTGCCGCACGCTCTGATTCTAGCTGTTGCGCCCAGTGGGGCGGACAAGTCGTGCCCCCCCCCATCAGGCATTCTCATTACAATGCTTAGCTGGACAACTCACCAGTGCTCTGGCTAGGGGTAGCAAGCCGCCCTGACCTTGTAGCACGCGGTGAGCTTCCACAGGGCTCCCCTACATGGCTAGGGATTCGGCGTCTGACGCTATTCTGTGGGATGCCAGCTCATCCTCCGACCAGGCGATGTGACTCGCTTCGCGCCTCATCACTTGCATGATAGGCGGTGACGTCACCTGTCGCGAAGCCCCCACCGCCTAACCGCATGCGTCGAACAGAGGTGGCTGTCTCGGGCATGTCGACCACCCGTACCGTCCACCATTACACGGTGCCTTCAACGGTCCCCGCGCAGGCTGTGGCACCACAGGGGTTGCCACCCCAACCTTCACGAGCACCGCTTCAGGATGGGAGAGCCCGTGTGCCCCATCCGACTGAAAGGGTCATGCCTACCCTCAAGGGCATCAGCGCTACACTACGATCCTCCTCCTCTTCCTCCTCCTCCTCCTCCTCCTCCTTTTCTTCCTCCTCCCATCCGCCTCGTCACCTCCCTGCGTTTCACGCACCCAGTACAGCGTTTCGTGGCCCCATAGGGAGCTCCACCGAAGGCTCCAGTGGCTCAGGCCGCACGCGTCAACGCCACCCAAGACAGCGCTTTGTGGCTCCATAGGGAGCTCCACCGAAGGCTCCAGTGGCTCAGGCCGCACGCGTCAACGCCACCCGGGACAGCGTTTCGTGGCCCCACAGGGAACTCCACCGAAGGCTCCAGTGGCACAGGCCGCATGCCTCAACGCCACCCAGGACAGCGTTTCGTGGCCCCATAGGGAGCTCCACCGAAACCGTTACCCACAACCCGGTATTCGCAACCGCATATGTTTGTGTCTTTCGCCAGGCTAATTTCTATCATGTGTCCAACATCTGCCTTTAGGGAGACATGACCGACCTAACGCTATCGTGGGCCCATCGCCGATCGCCGATCCATCGGCGATGCCTCGCCGATCCCAGCTCGACGGCTCCCCCCTGAGCTGGTCCCCCCTAACGTTATGTTGCCCCCATCATACTTAAGGACCGCATCCTAGAACTAATCTCGAGCACCCAGAACAACACCGAACCAGTGTCTAACGAACATCGTTTCCCAGGGCCCGGCACGTGACAACCCTCCAGATTCGATGCTTTCCTGGCGCTCGATTTTTTTTTTGTGGCGATCGAGGCTGAAGTAGAAGTAGGTTGGAACATCATAGCCCTAACGTTCCTCCGCGCGCCTCGCCTGCGCACAGGCCTCGGGCCAGGGGTTTCCCCCCCCCCCCCCCCCGTCGGACAGGGGTTTAGCGGCCTCGGCCCCTGCCGCGCGTCTCCCTGGAGGGGGGGAGGAGGAGGAGGGAGGCGGAGGAGGAGGAGGGAGGAGGAGGAGGAGGAGGCGGAGGAGGAGGAGGAGGCGGAGGAGGAGGAGGAGGAGGAGGAACAGGAGAAGGAACATAGTGAGGAGGAGGAGGGGGAGGAAAAGGAGGAGGAAGAGGAGGCCCCCCATCGGCGCAGGGCGCTCCTGCAGGCCTTCCTGGACAGGTGCCCCGTCTTCAGCTGTTCGGGCGAGCCCCACCCACGAGCAGCTCGGCCCAGGGGAGGACGTGGGCGAGAACGAGGAGGAGAAGGAGGAGGAGGAGCAGGAGGAGGTGGCAGAGGCGAGTCAGGATGAGGATGAAGGACGGAGGGCAACGACGACGACGAGGAGGAGGAGGAGGAGGAGGACGACGACGACAGGAGAGGCGATGGAGAAGCAGGAGGAAGACCAGGAGCAGGCGCAGAATAGTGATGAGACAAAGGGACGAGCACAAGTAGGAGAATGGGAGGAGGCGATGGAGGAGCAGGAGGAACACCAAGAGCACGTGCAGAAGGATAAGGAGGCAGGGGGACGAGCACGAGTAGGAGCATGAGTCGGCAGAGGAGGAGGAGGAGGAGGAGGAGGAGGAGGAGGAGGAGGAGGAGGAAGACGAGGAGGCGGAGGAGGAGCAGGAGCAGGAGGAGGAGGAGAGGTCCCGAGGGAGAATGGCCCTGGCATCTTCGCGTCGCGAAAACATCACGACCGGAGTTTTTTTGTCACCTTCGGCTTCCTGGGGCACTCGCCCGCCCTGGGACGAATGCACAAGACGACCCGGGATGAAAAGCCAGCCCGGTGTCGTAATCTTCCGGTTCGGTTCTGTTCGGTGTCGTAGTCTTCCGGTTCGGTTCGGTTCGGTACGTCTATTTTCTGTTTCCGGTTCGGACCGGTTCCTGTTCCGGTTCGGTCCGGATCCTGTCAGATCGCCGTCGAGGAGAGGTTTTGGTGGGGGTCCCGAAGGTTCGGGGCCCCAACCCCAAAGGGGCCCAAAAGGGGTCCCAAGGGAGCCCAAACCGAAAGGGGCCACGAAGAGACCGCAAAGGGGCCTCAAACCCCACAAGGAGATTCGAAGGGGCCCCAAAGGGGCACCAAACCCCAAAGAAGCCCCGAAGGGGCTCCAAAGGAGCTCCAAACCTCAAAGGGGCTCCAAAGGGGCCCCAAAGGGGCTCCAAACTCCAAAGGGGCCACGAAGGGGCTCCAAAGGGACCCCAAGCCCCAAAGTGGCCCCAAAGAGTCCCCAAAGGGACCCCAAACCCCAAACGTACCCCAAAGGGCTAAAAAGCCCCAAAAGGGTTCCAAACTCCAAAGGGGTCCCAAAGAGGCTCCAAAGGGGCCCCAAAGGGGCTTCGAAGGGGTCCCAAAGGAGATCCAAACCCCAAAGGAGCCTTAAAGGGCCCCCCAAATTTCCAAATGGGCACCAGAAGGGGTTCCAAAGGGGCCCCAAACGCCAAAGGGTTCCAAACCTCAAAGGAACCCTAAATGGGCCCCAAAGGGGCCCAAAACCTCAAAGGGGCCCCGAAGGGGCCCCGAAGGGGCCCCAAAGCCCAAAGGGCGCCCGAAGGAGCTCCAAAGGAGCCCCAAACTCCAAAGGGGCTTCAAAGGGGCCCCAAACTTCAAAGGAGCTCCAAAGGGGCCTCCAGAGCTTTAAAGGGGCCCAAACCCCAAAGGGGCCCCGAAGGGGCACGGGGGGTCCAAACCTTAAAGGGCTCCCGAAGAGCCCCAAAGGGGCCCCAAACCGCAAAGAAGCTTCAAAGGGGCCCCAAAGGGGCCGCAAACACCAAAACGAGCCCCAAAGGAGCCCCAAAGGGGCGCCAAACCCGAAAGAGGTTCCAAAGGGGCCCCAAAGGGACCCCAAACCCCAAAGGTACCCCAAAGGGGCCCAAACGTCAAAGGGGCCCCGAAGGGGCTCCAAAGCAGCCCCAAACCTCAAAGGGGCCCCAAAGAGGCCGCAAAGGGCCCCCGAGGGTTCCCAAAGGGGCCACAAAGTCCAAAGGTGCCCCACAGAGGCGCCGAAGGGGCCCCAAACTCGAAAGGGGCCACGAAGGGGCCCAAAAGGGGCCCCAAACTTTAAGAGAGCTTCAAAGGGGCTTCAAAGGAGCCCCAAAGGGGCCCAAAACCCCAAAGAGGCCCCAAACACCAAAGGAGTCCCAAAGAAAGCGGCCCCAAAGGAACTCCAAACTTCAAAGGGGCCACGAAGGGGCTCCAAAGGGGCCCCAAACTCCAAAGAGGCCCCGAAGCGGCCCCAAAGGGGTCCCAAACTCCAAAGGGGCGCCAAAGGGGCCCCAAACGGGCGCCAAAGGAGCCCCAAAGGAGCACCAAACCCCAAAGGGGCCTCGAAGGGGCCGTAAAGGGGCCCCAAACCCCAAAAGGGCCCCAAAGGGGCCCCAAATCCCAAAGGGGTCCCAAACCCCGAAGGGGCCCCGAAGGGGCTCCGAAGGGGCCTCAATGGTGCCCTTAACTTCAAAGGGGCCCCAAAGGGGCCCCAAAGAGGGGTTTGTCGGGGTGGCTGCAGCAGACTGTTGGTGGGTCGTTTCCGGTTCGGTCCGGTTCGGTCCGGTTCGGTCGGGTTCGGTCCGGTTCGGCGGGGTGAGGTTCGGCCCCGTTCGGAGTCTCGGTTCGGTTCGGATCGGTTCGGTGTCGCCATTTTCCAGTTCGGTTCGGTTCCCATTGACAAAAAACACCGGTTCGCGCCGGTTCGGTTCGACCGTTCGGTTCGGTTCCAGAACCATCCTGAATTTATACGTAGAATAACAACCAGGATGATCATGCGACGAGCAGTATAATACCTCTACCAATGCTAATGCTACATTTGAGTATTATTACGAATAAGAGTATGAAGAGTAGTAATATTACTAAGGAGCATCGGAGTAATATTCGTACCTGCAATAGTAATCAGGATAAGAAAAGCACGCGGAGGAGGAGCAGGAGGAGGAGGAGGAGAAGGATTTCGGTTTTTCTTATCCGTGCTCTCTCGCATCGCAGATGTTGCAGCTCGTGCCTCGGGCACGTGCTTCGCTCCGTAGAGGGCGCGACGTGCGAGGAGGAGGAGAAGCAGGATGATCATCATCCTGCTTCTCATCATTGATGATGATGATGATGATGATGATGATGAGGAGGAGGAGGAGGAGGAGGAGGAGGAGGAGGAGGAGGAGGAGGAGGAGGATAAGTGAGGAAAGGTGGGGGTGTGTGGAGGAGGTGGGAGCAGAAGGCAGAGGAGCACCGCAGACCCTGTCTATTGCCAGGCGAGCCGACGCCGGGGTGGCTCAAGTTGGCCGAGCACACCAAGCAGAAGAGCAGGGGCCTCCTGTTGAAGTCGTTGTTCGAGGCGGGCGCCGTGCTTCGCCGTCTCTGGAATGTGAACTGCCAGGGTCGACGTTTGGGGCAGAGGGCCTCCTTTTGATCAGCGGATCATCTTCGAGCCTTGAATCCTCATCGAATCCTGCTCGATCCTCGATCCTCCTCGAACCACCTCGACCCTCGATCCTCCCCGATGCTCTTCGAATCTTTTTCGATCCTCGGCCCTCCTCGATCCTCGATCCGCCCCGACCCTCCTCAGATCCGGGGCAGATTCGGCCAGATCGTTGGCCAGGAGAGGGGCCGGAGCCCTCGCCGTCAAGCCTCGGGAAAAATAGCGAACGTGCATGCCACATTCATCTATCAATCCCTTCCCCTCCCCGCATTGTTCGAAGCTGGCGGTGGGTCTGATGAGCTCCATTTCGACTGCAGTCTCCCCCGCGCGTGCCAGCTTTGAGTTTGTGGGAGCGGGGGAGCGTCCAGTGATTGTTTCCCCCTACCGGATTCGGCCAGTCGTTGGCCAGGAGGAAGGCCAGAGCCCTCGCCGTGCTTCGCTGTCTCCCGGGGATGGCGGGGCGGGCGTTTTGGGGGACATCTCGGACAGGCCCGGGGCCGTGCCTCCCTGCGAGGAGTGCGCAGGGAACCCAGAGGAGGAGGTGCCCGCACCGTTACCCTTCGCCCGTTTCCAGAGATCCTGGCGTTGCAATGTTTTCACACCGGGGCGTTTTCGAGCGATTTCGGACCCCAAGACCCTTACAGATCGATCCAGCTCGAAAGCTCCGGTCTTGGTTTTTCACCATGTTGCAGTTTTTGTTCGAGGCGTCGGATCTCAGGGGTTTTCCCTTTTTGGGTCTCCTGGGAGGCCCTCGTCAACACTGTTCAGGAAGCACATCGGGAGAGGTCCGGGGAGTAGCGGTACCGGTATTTTCTGATGGTTCCAGGTACGAACAAGACCGTTGGCGCAAGCTGTCTCATGTGGTTCTGGCCCCTGGCTTCCCCGCTTGCTGGTAGACGAAGTCAGTTGAGTGCAAGTGTGCACGTGAGCACGACAAGTAACCGCAGAGCAATACTGTGCGACGGTCGCGTGCGTGCGTGATAGACTGCACTGAGTCTTGCTATAGGATCACAAGGGGCGTCCCCTCCGCCGCCCAGACAGTGTGCGCATGATGTTGCGAAATGCGTATCTTCCAAGGGCGCCCTCTCTTGCTGATAAAGCGATGTGCGCTTCCCCAGCTTCGACGCGCACTCGTCTACCAGAGTGCCCAGGCCGCCCAAACGGGGCTGGAGCTAATAGGGGCCGAAGTGCCGCGCCGCTTCGCCGGTGCATCGGCGATGCGGCCCGACCTGGAGCGCGATCACCGAAAAAACGAGAACACTGAAAAACATTGAAAAAACAGGAAGAAGCACAAGGACCGACGTCGCCGATACATCGGCGACGCGTTGCGATCCTCCGGCCCCGTGTGCTCTGGCCCTGGCTGGGCGGCATCCACGAGCGTCGCTGGCCTCCCGACAAAGGTGCCCGGGCATATTGCCGTGCAGGTGGTTCAGTGGGGGCTCAAGGTGGTCTGGTCTTTTCCTCCCTCCTCTGCCGCCTCCCCTTTTTTTGCTCGTGTACCTCCTGCGCCTCTCCGTGCTGCTCTTGGTTCTTCCTCTTTCCTCCCTGCTGGGGACTCGGGGTGATCTGGTTTTCCTCCTTCCTGCTCTGCCGCCTGCCCATATTCTAGTTTTTTCCTCCTGCTCCTCTCCGTGCTGCTCTTTGGTCTTTCTCCTTCCTCCCTGCCACCTGTTCCCTCTCCCCTTGCTCTTGCCGATATGCTGTCCACGCACGGTGCGCAGTTTTTTTTCGCGCCTGGCTGGCAGCATGCCTTCCAGTATGCACCAGGAGGCCTGGGGTTTGGGTTCTCCAGGAGGAGAACAAAACACAGACACAAGTAACCGTCGATTCCTCAGAACATATGGGAAAATGTGGGCAGTGGGGGGGGAAGACAGAAACCCAGAAACTATGGGATCATATGGGAATCCTACTTGTGTGTATCTATTTGTGTGTCCCAGGGCCCCTTCAGTGTTGCGTCGGGGAAAATGTGGGGATTCGGGGTGACCGCACGATTTCTGGACTTGGGTGGTTATCCGAGAATGTCTCGGGCAACTGGGGCTCACCGCTCACCGGGGCACACAAGCCGTGCGGCGACGGACCGCGCGGTGAGGTCGTTGGGGATTCCGAAGTCACCGCGCAGACTGTCACCACATCATCTTGGGACGCCAAAGAGTTTTAGGCCTCCCGAGTGGGGACGAGTAGAGGGGTCGAAGGATCGCGCCGCATCGGCGATGCATCAGCGATGCGGCTCCATGTGCAGAGCGATTTTCTCCACGCCGATATGGCCGATGCGTCGCCGACGTCGCCGATGCATCGCCTACGCATCGCCAGCACATCGGCGATGTATTGGCGATGATGCAGGGCGATCCTCCGACCCCATCTACCTGGACCCCATCCAGGAGGCCTCTGAGAGTGCCACCCTCCGCAGGAGGTCCTCTGCGCACCGCCGACGCCGCGAGTGCATTGCCGCGCGCAGGTGAAGATGATGATCATCATCGCCCTGAACAGGCTGAAGCGGCGCCGCTCCGAGCTGTCGCAGGAGCGCCGGCAGGAGCTGGAGGCGCAGCGCCCTCCTCCTCGTCTTCCTCCTCCTCCTCGTCCTCCTCCTCCTCCCGTCGTCTTCGCGTCGTGCCGTTATCGGTTACCGTCATGGCGCCAACTTCGCAGAGCGGACTTCGTTCGGAAAACACTGGGACGGGCCGGGATTGTCCTGGAGAAGTTTGTCCCAGATTTCGAAGTGAATTTCGTTCGTTGTTTTTCGGCCAGGAATGAAGATTACAAACAATACACACGAAATTCACTTCGTTTTTCGCTCGCCGTTTCGGGGCTTTGTTTCGACAGAGATCCACGGGCAATTCCCCTGCAGCACGTCTGCAAGGTCGGTGCAGTGAGTTGTCGTTGCCGCAGTCGTCGTCCGTCGTCACTGGCCGTCGTCGTTGTCGCCATGCATTGTCGTCTGGCCACCCTCTACTCTCCGGCGGCTTGCGCTTCCTGCCCCAGAGGGTCGCGGGACTCATTTTATGGGCGCGGCGGTCATGATTTTAATGTACCCATGATTGCGACGAGTGCTCGTACGTACGCATGATATGGACACGCGTAAACATGTATATGATATGAATTTACACGCAGACATGTATAACACTTATATATATGTACATAGTTCGATTTTAACACATGTGTTACACACTTATGATATGAAATCAAAACCATACATTATGCATATTACACATGCGCACGCGCACACACACACACACACACGCACACGCACGAGTACACGTTGGCCCGACGCAGGCGTTTGGCCCAGACCCTTCCCCCGAATGCCCATATCGGGGGGGGATGCCGCCCAAGGGCGGGAAGGCCTCGACTGATGTCGACGGCCTGGCCGCGGCGCTAGTCGCTCTCGGCGCAGCGCCGCCGATCATCAAGGGCACTTGCCCCCCCTCCCCTCTCGCGGCGGCCCTGCGCGCCCCCCTCCTCCGTGGAAGTTCCGCAACAAAGAGAGAGACAGAGTGTAAGGGATCAGAAGTCAGAGGAAATATCGAGAGGGGAAGAGAGGGAGAGAGAGAAAGAGAGAGAGATATACATATATATATATATAAATATAAAGTCAACGAGAGCGATAGAGAGAGAGAGAGAGAGAGAGCGCATTTAATTTACACATGGATGTAGATATGTACATATATACTACATAAATATCTGCGTATATATACATGCAATGATTTGTGTATACACGATCATGATTATACACGTGAGCTCCAGCGCGCGTGTATATCGCGTCAGTCGCTCGAGAGGTGAACGACGACCTGTTCTTCTCGAAGCCCGCGACGCTTCGCGCGCCCCCCCCCCCCAGCCCGTCCAGGAACGATGCCCGCGGGAGCTGGCGCGGAGGAGGGAGAGACGCGCGCAGTCAAAAGGAGTTTAGCTTCTTGGCGACCTCCTGGGGAGGCTCCGCGGTCGTCTCGAGCCGTCTTGGAGCGGCCCCGGGGCCTCCCGTAGCGTCTCGGGAGCCGCGTTGAGCCAGCTTCTTGAGCCATCTTGGATGTCATCTTGGGCTCTCTGAGGCCGCGCGGTGGCCTCCTGGGCGCCTGTCGGGCGCCTCTTGGAGGTGTCTTGGTCGCCCCCCTCGTCGGAGGCCGCGGCCCTCGCGGGGGGCGCCGGGGGCCGAGCAGAGGCTTTCTGACACCTCGCGACCCCCCCTCCCCGGACAAATCCAGAGAGGTGAGGGGGGGTTCACAGAGGGCTGGTGGGGTTCGTTCGTCGCCGCGGCTGGGTTCGCCTCGAAATCCTCATCTGAATGCATCTAGCGGCGAGGGCGGGCAGCGGGCGGGCGTGGGGTTCCAGGCGAGGAAGGCGGACTTCAAAGACGCGCAGATCAAGATTGCCGATCGCGTGCTTCCCCGCCCCGCCCGCCGAGGGAGTGGCGAGGGGGGCGCGACGGGGGCAGATGGCGGCCGCCGGGTTCTCAGAGATGGTCGAGACGATCGGCAGCGACGACGAGGGCGAGGGGGGGCCGCCGACCGACGCCCCCCTGTGGCAGCTGCGCGACGGCGGGAAGGAGGAGGCCGCCGACGACGCCGCAGACGGCGAGAATGGTGAGGGGGGCTGCCGACGACGCCGCGGCAGACGACGAGAAGGAGGCCGCCGACGACGCCGCGGCGGGCGACGAGAAGGATGAGGCCGCCGACGGCGCCGCGGGCGAGAAGGGCGAGGCCGCCGACAGCGCCGCCCAGAACTGCGAGATTGGCTTCGAGGAGGAGTGTCGGAGTTCGTGCAGGATCAAGAAAGGCGCGCGGCTCAAGGAGTTCGCCCGGTCGATGGAGATCGACGACCCGCTGTGGCCGATTGCGAGGTTGGCGGCGGGTGGCGGCTGGGGGGGGGGGGGGGGGCGGGGGGGGGGGGCGAGCGCGCGAGCGTGCGTATACATGCATTGTGCGTGCAGACGGATTGACAGACAGACGCGCGCGCGGATCTGTCGACGGACAGACAGACAGACAGACAGACAGACAGACAGACAGACAGACAGATAGACAGACAGACAGACATGCACACGCGTACATATATATACATGCATGCATGCGCGCGCACATACATACACGCGTACATGCGTGCGTGCATGCGCCCATGCATATATACATCCGCACATGGCCCCGCGGCGCACTCCAGGGCGCGCCCGGCCCCCAGGATCGCCCGCGAACCCCGCCCCAGACCGCGACCTCCCGCCCCCGCCCCCCCCCCGCGCACGCGCGCACGCGCGCGCTTCGCGTCCTGGCGCCTCCCAGCCAGGTGGGGCGATGGCATGGCGAGGAAGGTGGGCGCGGCTTTCCCCGGAGGTCGGCCGATCGGGATGCAGCTGCACGGCGAACGTGCCAAAAAAGGTCAACGGGGCGAGAGTCGATGTCGAGGATGAGCGAGGGCCCCGCGGAGGAGGACCGATCAGGAGGAGGGGGGGAGGGGGCGCCTGACCAGGTGCGGGCATGTTCTGGAAGCGCGATCGGATGCCGCCGCGCATCCAGAGGCGGCGCGAGAGAGGCGACGACCTGCTGCAGCTCGAGGATGCGCGGCCGGAGATCGACAATAATCAGGCGGGATGCGCATGCATATATATATATATATATATATACATATATATACATATATATATGTGTGTATAGAATGTATAACAGTACATGCACACGTACATGCATACGCGTATATCCATCCATTTATCCGCCCATCCACCCGCGCACGCGCATGCGTGCATATAGAACCGTACAAACATACATCCAGCCATGCATGCATACATGCACACCACGCACGCACATGCCTGTACATCTCCTAAACTTACATACATTTTCATATTATACATACAACTACACGCGCAAATGCACATGATACCGGAGAAAAGCCCCAATCAGTTTTTTTGTTGGGGCTGGGGCTATAGGACAATGGGGCCAGAGGGCTACGGGGCTATATGGGCTATATGGCTATAGGGGTATAGTGCTATAGGGCTATTGGGATATTGGGCTATGGGGGCTATAAGGTTATAGGACTGTGGAGCTATAGGGCTATAGGGCTCTAGGGCTCTAGGGCTCTAGCTATAAGGCTACATGGCTATAAGGTGCCCGGGCGCCCCCGGGCACCTCTGGGCGCTCCCGAGCACCCGGGCGCCCGGGCACCGGGCGCCTGGCCACCGGCCGCCGAAATCATGGGGCACCGGGCACCCGCGGGCGCCCCTGGGCACCCGGGCACCCGGCCACCGGCCACCAAATTGGCGCCCCACCACTCCTAACCGTATAAATCCGCTAGGACCCCACACAGAGGCAAGCCCTGATTGGGGAACATACTTATGCACACAATGCAAACATGCATAGCACACAACGGTACAGACCGATAATTTCGAAGGGAGGGCCCTCGCGAGGTGGCCCAGGTGCGCGCGGCCAAATTCGACTCGTTCCACGCGGTGCTTGAGTTCGTGCAAGAGCCGGCGCGCAAGTGTTTCAGTGAAAGTGGAAATCACTGGCGCGCGGGCCCTCCCTGCCGGCGTGGTCCGATTCCCCCCGCCCCCCCCCCCCGCGCGCGCCGCGATCGCCCCGTCGCCTATCGCCGCCCTTCGAGGGGGGCCGCCCCGCGCATCCCCGCCCCGCTTCCCGCGCGAGGCCTGGCCGAGATGCAGTGCGAGGGGCTCGAGGCGGAATGGGTGAAGTTCTTCGCGAGCCGGAATGGGCCACCACCACCAGTACTTTCATCATCGTTGCCGCTGTTGCCAACGTCATCATGGCACCGCGCCCGCCCGAGTCACCGACCCGCGCTGAAGTGCTCGCGCGCTAGCGCCGTCATTCAGAGGCACTGGGAATTGTCCACCGGTAAGCGTTGCTGTGGCCGCATCAGTTGTGCCAAACAAGCTGGTAGCCCTGCGCGCGAGCGTGCGCGCGCCAGCGCGGTCGTACAGATGCGGTAGCATGTGCCAATCCGTTGATGCAGTCGCGGCCGCGTGGTTTCTATCCAAAAACATGCGGATGGGACGGTTTGGATGTTTGCGCGAGCATTGACAAGTTCTGCCAGGTAGATTCTCCTGTCTAAAAAGAAATAGGTTCTACCACCCCCCACCCCCACCGGATCTAACCATGCATATAGTTCTGTCCCGTCGTCCATCCAAAATGCGAAATTGCACTATCCCAGGGGCGGGCCGGTATCGCCCCCCCCCCCCGCCGCATTCAGCAAAAAGTTTTATGCGCGCGCACCCACTTATCAAACATCAAAGGTTTCAGTAATGCGCGCGCGCGCGTCGTCGCGCGCGCATGCCGAAATCCTTCAAAAACTTTCGGTATCGGAAGGATTTCAAAATCGAGCTCCCAAAGAACATACAAAGACACATGGTTTGGCAACACTCATTCTCCAACAAAAATTACGCGAACGCTCTAGTGAAATCTTTTTTCTTATATATATATATATATATATATATATATATATATATATATATATATATATATTTTTTTTTTTTTTAAAAAAAAAAAAAAAAAAGATTTTGGAAACAATGCCAAAAGGACTTCGCGCGCGCGCATATCGAAATCGTTCGAACGCCCTTGCGCGCGTGCCGACGCGAGAATCCTCTGCAACAAATGGGACGAAGTGCACGCGCGCGCGCGTCGTCGCGCGCGCATGCCGAAATCCTTCAAAAACCTTCGGTATCGGAAGGATCTCAAAACCGAGTGTCCAAAAAACAAACAAAAACACAAGGTTTCGCAACGCGGGTTTTCATCAAAAGCGTGCGCGCGCTCTTGCGTCGTCGTCGTCATCGTCGCCGTCCTCCCTCCTACCTCGTCGTCGTCGTCGTCGCCGTCGTCCTCTATCTTTCCTCGTCGTCGTCGTCGTCGTCCTCCTCCTCCTCTTTGGTGTCGTCGTCGTTTCCGTCGTCGTTGTAAACGTGGTCGTCCTTCCTCCTCCCTCGTCGTCGTCGTCGTCCGTCGTCGGCATCTCGTCGTCGTCCCTTCTATTTCGTCGCCGTCGTCGTCGTCGTCGTCGTCGTCGCCTTCCCTCCTCCCTCGTCGTTGCCGTTGTCGGCGTCGCCGCCCTCCCTCCTTCTTCGTCGTTCGCGTCGTCGTTTTCCTCCCTCCTCCCTCGTCGTCGTCGTCGTCTTCGTTGCCGCCGTCGTCGTCCTCCCTCCTCGTCCTTCGTCGTCGTCGTGTTCGTTGGCGACGTCGTCGTCGTCGGCGTCGGCGTCGTCGTCGTATTCGTCGGCGTCGTCGTCGTCGTCGGCGGCGCCCCGCCCCCGTCGACCCCAGCCTGAACGCGCAGGTTTTGAGTGCTACATCCCCGCCCGACCAGAAGGAGTCGCACGGCATCGTCGAGCTGATCATCAATGCATTGGGCTTCGCCGACGACGCCAACTTGGTCACGAAGCAGACGTGCGCGAAGGCAGTAGAGAAGCAGGCCATCGACATCCTCGCGTCCATCGGCGAGACCGCCCACCAGGGTAAGACGGAACGCGTCGCCATCGGTAAGAAAGGTACCGCTCTGCCTTGGATGGCAGCCGCACAACGGATACGGCCAAAAGACCCGAGGCAGCCCGCAACATCTGGAGACCTCTTTATCGAAAATTGCCGCGATTGGGGATTTCACGACGATTACGAGCGCAGGTGTGCGTGCAGGGCCACTGTGTATGCAGCATTATTGTTCGGCGCCGAGATCCGCGCGTTCTCGCAAACCGAGCTGGACCAATACAGATCCTTTCTCAATCGCGTGCTCCGTGGAGTTAGCTACGACTCGCGTGCCAAGTTCGGTACCCTTCGCGACATGGAGGGACAGTACACGATGGTGGATATCAGATTGAGCACCGGTTTGGGCGACGTCGAGACCATGATCGTGAAGAAGCAGTTGGGTTACATAGGACATCTTGCACGATATGCGCCAGGGCGAGTCGAGCGTCAGGTACTTGGTCTTGTGGCGGCGGCTTCCTTGCGACAGACTCACAAACGTCGAAGGTACCTGCGAGACACATATTGGACTCGCATTGTGGAAGTTGTCACAGCCCTCGGGCACCAGGAGGCGAATGCCCAGCAGGTCTGGTTATCGATTGCGCGTGATTTCGCTCATGGATCTAAGCTCGTTGTCGCCAAGTACCGTGCTAAAAATGAGATGGGCACGTGGCAGCACCGACGCCATGGACCGCTCACTGTTGTGGACAGTCAAGCAGTTGTGGCACTTCAAACGTTGGACGATCGAGGACGAGCTCAGTGCTCGAGGTGCCGAGGCTGGTTTTCCAACGTCAGGTCTCACCTGCGCTCGCGTGTGAGGAAGCCAGTTGGAAGTACTTGCGCAGTTGTACGAGGACAAAAACAGCGCATGTCATGTTCACGTTGGTTTTCGGACATGAATGCTCATAAGAAGTATTGTCGTGGCCCCCCTTCCACCACCTCCTCCTGCTGCTGTCCCCCGCCCTGCTCGTCGCGTTCGTCGGAAGTGCGGCCCCCATGTATATCAGCAGGTAGCCGCCTCCAGCACGCCAGCGCGCTCAGCGACGCCAGCAGCGAGCGCGGCAGCACCAGCAGCGAGCGCAGCAGCACCAGCAGCAGCACCACTACGAGTTCGACGACGTCTTAAACGCCAAACCCCAGGAGCTGAAGCATACGTGGTAGGACACACACGAGCTGATCACAAACGCATGGCACATAAGCAATCGAGCCGAGCCCCGATCAAGAAGCGAGCACCTCGGAACTACTATAAGCGAGCAGCATCGAGCGACACACGTACATGTACACGCACATCGGCGGCTAAAACAGCAGGTAAGTTCGAGTGCACATGGTGCCATGAGTTCTTTTCTACCAGAACGCACAGATGTAATTGCAAGAGCATGCCATATTCGGAGCATCAGAAGCAGGTCTTGAGAAAGCGGACCACCTCAGCGCCAGCCAATGTTATTGCCCAGTGGACGGTTGCATGCCAACATTGTAAACTGACCTTCGCCCATGAGAGAGCCATGCGAGCGCGCCGCGCACAGCGTTATGAACGCCGTGTCGCCGCAGGGCTCAGGGTTCCGCAATGAGCATATGCTGAGTGTCTTCCTCCTGTACCTCTGCCACCTCTACTACCGTGGCCGACGCTCTTGGCGCGGCCCTGGCAGCGGCGGGCAAGGAGGGCGCCGGCGGGAAGCAGGGCAAGGGCTCTGGCAAGAAGAGTGGCACGCTACAGAACAGGCTTCGGGCAGTGGAAAACGTTCTTCACCAGCGCGAACGTTCGATTCACCTGCTCGAGGACCGCTCGTCATTTGTCTTTATCGCACGAGGAGAAGCGGAGAAGGCGAAGGTGGCCCAGCTCCGCGACGCTCACAGAGCAGCGGAGACAACACGTCAGGAAACGCACGAGAAGCAGGTTTCGGAGGCCAAGGCTGCCAAGAAGGATGTGCCCAGCATCCCACCTCACCCTCGCGGCTCACTGCGCTCGCTGTTGTTCGCCCACTTGATGGGGGAGATCAACGAGGCCGTTCCTCAGGGCGCGGGGGCGCCGAAGGAGATGGCCAAGTGGCTGGCTGGGTTGGTGGTCACGCATGTCAATCTCCTGGTGTTCCGCATGAAGTCAGAGCGCAGGGGGCCGCGCGACGGGCGGCCGCGGGCGTGGGGGGCGCTGCGCTCCGACCATCTCAGCGAAGAGGCAGGGAAATTCCATCAGGCCCTCGCTATTGTGATCGACTGGAGTCGCGCCAACAAATCTACCGCATCCAAGTCCACCCAGATCGCTTCGATGCACGCGCAGGACGGGCCGACGATCAAAGGGCCCATGAGCCTCCGAAAGAAAGGCGGCGCCAAGGGAGAGGAGGAGGACGAGGAGGAGGACGATGCGATGGGAGGCGACGGTGGCGGTCAGCCCAAGCAGCGGAGGAAGAAGCGATAGTGAGACTTTCGATATGCAGTCTCGAATTTCAGAAGCGAGCTTGGTGGCCTTTGGATTATATATAGTGTGGTTCGTCGCAGTATGAGGGGGTGGATCCAAGTTTTGATGTTGCCGAAGCTACCAGTCTACCGCTACCAGTGCGTCATCATCCTGATCGTCATTTTTGGTTGTGGCTCCAGGCGGCTTGTTCCCGTGCCGCCTCGGCGGCTTTCGCCGCCTGGGCCTGCGCCGCCTCGGCGGCCCCTGCGGGTCGGCGCGACTGGGTGCCCTCGGAATCCGCCCCTACCACAGCGTTGGTTGGCGGGAGGCTGGCTCTTTTGTTGCGGCGCGCTGGCCTGCTGGGGCTCGAAGCCAGGCGAATTCACTTCTACGACGTTGAACTGTATACCACGTTGACGCGGTCCACGAACCTGTCCAGCACAGGTCCACATGCGAGATCCTGGACTGGGCCTTCGAGCGCATGCAGCTGGCGCTGCAAGCGCTGCACTGGCCGCGGCGCCATGAAGTTCCACGTGACTGGCGAGGCGCTCGCTAAGGACATGGGCGTTCCCATTTCTGTGCTGGAGCAGACTCACAAGGGGCATTTCGAGGCTGGTAAGAAGACCGAGAAGGGCCCGGACGGCGGCTCATTCCCGGCCTACCACAGCGGCAAGTCTTGGGACGAGGCCAGCGGTAAGACGGGTTCGGGCAAGAAGTTCAACCACAACGTGATCGACGGCCCCGCGGTGAAGAGCGAGCCCTTCTACGCGGCCATCATCTTGCCAGTGATCCACTACTGCATGGGCGGCCTCGAGATCGACGCGGACTCCGCCTGCGTCGGCGCCAACGGCAAGGCCATCCCGGGGCTGGAGGCGGCCGGCGATGGCAACAATCGCTTAGGGGGCAATTCGTTGCTGGACAGCGTGGCGTTCGGCCGCGCGGCGGGCCCCGCCGCGGCCAAGTGCACGTTGGGCGCGGACTGCAAGCCCGCGAGCCTCAAGGACCTCTCTGGCGGAGGCCACGCCGGCGAGGTGACGGCGCCCAAGAACGCGGGCGGCTCGCACGAGGATGGCATGAACAAGGGCGCGGAGGGCGGAAAAGGCAAAGGGCGGCGCCGCGCCTGCCGGCAAGGGCGGCGTCAAGGGCTACTCCATGGAGGAGGTGGCCAAGCACGCCAGCAAGACTGACTGCTGGATGGTCGCGGCTGGCGAGGTGCTCGACGCGACCTCGTTCCTGAGCCAGCGCCCAAGAGGCGAGCTGGCCATCCTCGCGTTCGCCAGGGAGGACGCCACCGAGGAGTTCAACATGATCCATCCTCCGGACGTGATCCCGAAGTGCGCCCCCGCCGCCGCCACCGGCGCGCTCGGCGCAGGGGGCGGCGCGGCCCCGGCGGCGGCGGCCGGCGCCTCGGCAGCGACGGCGGCCGCGGCGGGAGAGCACGGCGCGCGCGACTGGAAGCTGGCGAACGACAACCGCAACAAGAGGATGGGCGAGTGCGGGCGCGTCCCGGGGCCCATCGGGGCTCTGGTCTACATGGTCATCGCCTTCATGAAGGAGGTCCTCTTCACGATCTTCGGCCGGAAGAACTTCCAGTTCACCAACGACCACATTGGCCCGACGCGCTCCGCAATGTTCACGTTCATCTTCATCATCACCCACGCAGTCGGCAACCTGCACGCGTTCCTCGGCCCGGACGACTTCAACGGATATGGATACTTCTACGTCCGCCTCTTCTGGACGGGTTTCGGCTTCAACGCCAACATCGTCGAGGAGTACATCCTGCTCGCCTCGCTGCTCCACGTAGCCGTGGGCCTGAAGCGCACCTGGGACATCTCGATCAACTACACCATCGCCTCTGGCAAGCTCAACATCGCGATCTCGGGCATCACGCTGCTGACCTTCATGAGCATCCACTTTTTCCAGCTCCGCTTCGGCGACACGCAGCCGTTCGAGCTGTGCCCGCCACCGTGCCTAATCAACGTGGCCACCCTGCTGGAGCCGAGGCTGAATCTCTTCTGGGTCCACGGCGCCGACTGCGTCAAGGCGAGCGTCCGCGACATCTACCGCATGGAGTTCGAGGTCTTCCAGTCCCTCGGCTGGTGCCTCTTCTACATCAGCGCCGTGGCCATCTTCGCCGCGCACATGCGCCTTGGCCGGCAGAAGACTGCCCCAGCGCCTGCGCTTGAGATCCCCAAGCGTTTCCACAACAAGGCGATTCACATCGGCTACATCGCGACGGCCTTCATCGCGCTGGTCTACGTCAGCCCCCCGCCCTACGCGCACATCTTCCCGATGTCAGACGGGGCGATCACCCCGGAGGCCCCGCTCCCCGCCCCCGTCGCCGCCGCGGGCCCGGCGCGAGCGGGCTAGCGACCCTAGACCCAGCGCTTCGCAGGACTCTGCGGCCTCGCGATCGTGCTTCCCCTTCGCCCCTGTTCCCCAAGCAGCGCTTGCACTTGGGAGTTCCTTCGCGGTTTCCGAGCAACTGGCATGCATTTCCACGTGTCCGCCACGTCCCAGCCTGCGAGCGCCTCATGGGCGCTGCGTTCGCTGGGTTGTTCGCCTGATTTCCGTCTGGGGCAGCCCGCGGCCGCTTGGGGCGCCTCGTGCGCTGGTTGGCGGTTCTAGATTTGGCCCTGGTTGCGGCCTGCGTCCGCTCGCGGGCGCCTAGTGGGCGCCCCGTGCGCTAGTTGCACCGCGGAGCTGGCGCCACATAGCTTCCACCACATACATTCCTTTTTCAACATGAGGATACAGTCTGTCACCCTCTCACCCCTGGACTCATCGGTACCAATTTGGATAGCGCAGTTTAAACGCGATTCTGCCTTGTCGCCCACTCCCCACATGAAGTCATACCACCCCAGCCCAACTGGCATCGAACCCCCCCTCCCATACTTAAAAAATTTACTACGCGCGCGCCCGTGCATCTCATGTGACAATCATTCGAGAATTCCTCTCAACAGCTGCACTAAGTCCGCAGAAGCGCTCATACCAAAATCAAAGGCCAAGCACGTTAGGTACGCACCTGCTGAAATTAAGGGGGGACCATTCGAGTTCGGCCAGTTCGCCCTGAACCCGCATTAGCATGTCACCACGCCGTGCATCAGCGTTGATCTAGCATACGCCCAGTGCACGAACCGGTCTCGAAGAATAGCGCGCGGGCCACAAGCGTGCGCCGCCGCGCGCGCGTGTCGAAACCCTCTCCAAATTCATAGGTGTTCGAAGCATTTCAAGATAGAGGTTCAGCAAAAACATGCCCGAAACAACAATCGCCTCCATTGCCACCATCATCAGACCAATCACTTCCACTGCTGACACATGGACGTCATCGTAATCAGCATTATCGTTATCATCATCAGCATCAGCATGATCATCATCATCCGTCATCACATTTCGTATCATCACCCTCACAGTATCACCACCGCCATCATCATCAGCAGCAGCATCACCATCGCCATCAGCTTCATCAGCATCATCAGCAGCATCACCATCTGCGCGCCGCCGTCATTGGCCTCGTCGTCGTCATCGTCATCATCGCCACCACCGCCACCACCAGTACTTTCATCATCGTCGCCGCCGTTGCCAATGTCATCATGGCACCGCGCCAACCCGAGGCACCGACCCGCGCTGAAGTGCCAGCGCGCTAGCGCCGCCATTCAGACGCGCTGGGAATTGTCCACCGGTAAGCGTTGCTGTGGCCGCATCAGTTGTGCCAAACCAGCTGGTAGCCCTGCGCGCGAGCGTTCGCGCGCCAGCGCGGTCGTACAGATGCGGTAGCATGTGTCAATCCGTTGATGCAGTCGCGGCCGCATGGGTTTTATCCGAAAACATGCGGATGGGACGGTTGGGATGTTTGCGCGAGCATTGACAAGTTCTGCCAGGTATATTCTCCTGTCTGAAAAGAAATAGGTTCTACCACCCCCCCACCCCCGCCGCATTTAACCATACATATAGTTCTGTCCCGTCGTCCGTCCTAAATACGAAATTGCACTATCCCAGGGGCGGGCCGGCATCGCCCCCCCCCGCCGCATTCAGCAAAAAGTTCTACGCGCGAACACCCACTTATCAAACATCAAAGGTTTCAATAATCCCTTTCAACAAAATAAGACGAAATGCACGCGCGCGCGTCGTCGCGCGCATGCCGGAATCCTTTTAAAAAGCTTTCGGTATCGGAAAGATCTCAAAATCGAGTTCCCAAAGAACATACAAAAACACATGGTTTCGCAACTTTAATTCCCCAACAAAAATTACGCGAACGCTCTTGCGAATTTTTTTTTTTTTTTTTTTTTTTTTTTTTTCCGGAAAGAATTCAAGATTTTGGGAAAATGCTTCCAAAAAGGCTTCGCGCGCGCATATCGAAATCGTTCGATCGCCCTTGCACGCGTGCCGACGCGAGAATCCTCTGCAACAAATGGGACGAAGTTCACGCGCGCGCGTCGTCGCGCGCGCATGCCGGAATCCTTCAAAAACCTTCGGTAGCGGAAGGATATCAAAATCGAGTGTCCAAACAACATACAAAAACACAAGGTTTCGCAACACGGCTTTGCAACAAAAGCGTGCGCGCGCTCTTGCGTCGTCGTCGTCATCGTCGCCGTCCTCCCTCGTCCCTCGTCGTCGTCGTCGTCGCCGTCGTCCTCTATCTTTCCTCGTCGTCGTCGTCGTCGTCCTCCTCCTCCTCCTCCTCCTCCTCCTCCTCCTCTTTGGTGTCGTCATCGTTTCCGTCGTCGTTGTAGCCGTGGTCGTCCTTCCTCCTCCCTCGTCGTCGTCGTCCGTCGTCGGCATCTCGTCGTCGTCTCTTCTATTTCGTCGCCGTCGTCGTCGTCGTCGTCTTCCCTCCTCCCTCGTCGTTGCCGTCGTCGGCGTCGCCGCCCTCCCTCCTTCTTCGTCGTTCGCGTCGTCGTTCTCCTCCCTCCTCCCTCGTCGTCGTCGTCGTCGTCGTCTTCGTTGTCGCCGTCGTCGTCCTCCCTCCTCCTCCTTCGTCGTCGTCGTCTTCGTTGGCGACGTCGTCGTCGTCGTCGTCGGCATCGTCGTCGTATTCGTCGGCGTCGTCGTCGTCGGCGGCATCGTCGTCCTCACCGTCGTCATCGTCGTCGTCGTCGGCGTCGGCGTCGTCGTCGGTGTCGTCGTCGTCGTCGTCGTCGTTGTCGTCGTCGCCAAAGTCGTTGCAGTCGTCGTCGGTTTCGTCGTCGTCGTCGGTGTCGTCGTCGTTGTCGCTGTCGTACATCGACATGGACGGCGGCACTCGGACGGACACAAAGAAGAGATTGGAAGCGGCCAGGGCGATATGGAGGTCCATCTACACGGAGCTCCCCAGGCTGGGCATTTCCAAGCAGCTACGGGCGCGGGTGGTACAAGCTACGGTCCTGGCGGCGCTGTTGTTTGGCTCGGAGATTCGGACCATCTCCCAGGGCGAGATCAACGAGTACCGCTCGTTTCTCAACAGAATTATTCGCAATATCTCATACAATGCATACACTAAAGAAGGGGCTCTACGTGGTATGTAGGGCGCTGCTACGATGACGGATCTTCGCATGGCGTGTGGCCTCGAGGACGTGGGACTTCAGTTCATCAAGCGCCAGCTCGGCTATCTCAGCCATTTGGCTAGATATCCAGAAGATCGCATAGAAGGCAGCTGCTGGGAGTGGTGCTGGCTACGTCGTGGCGACCAGAAGGCAAGCGCTCCCGTCATCTTCGTACCACCTATGGGCACCGTATTCGCGAGGTGATGCGAGCTCTTGGCTACCCCGAGCAGGACGTGGCGACCTCGTGGCTGCAGGTGGCCCAGGACCGCGCCCCCTGGACGAAAGGTAGCAAGTGTGTTCTGGATCGCTATCGTTCTCAACTTAACCAAAATATTCGGCATCATCGGCACCATGGAGATCCCGACGAGGCTGAGCGTCTGGCAGTACTTTCCCTTCAAGCTCTCGATCGCGAAGGCCGCGCGCGTTGTGCACGGTGCCAGGGCTTGTTGTTTTACATTCGCAGCCACTTGCGAAGTTGCCTGCGCCGGCCTGTTCCTCCGACGCCGGCGGTGCGTGCACAGTCACAGTGCCCCGATTGTGGCAGATGGTTTTCAGACTTGAATATGCATCGACGGTATTGCAAAGGCCCTCCACCTGCACCGCCACCTCTCCCAGTTGTTCGTCCTCCTCGGCGCGTTCGTCACAAGCTTGGCCCCTCGAAGGTCTCCGGGGGCGCCCCTGAAGTCGCGGCCCCAGCAGCCAGCAGCAGCGTTCAGGAAAGCGGGGCCCGTCTTGTTCGTAAACGCCCAGCAGCTTCGCCCCCCCCGTCGACCCTCGCGATGATCGTCGAGCCCCTCCACCTCATCACGATGATGACCCGCCAGTTCGCCTTCCTCCTCCTCGTCGAGTTCGCCGCCGTATTTCGAAGAAGGTTCCAGGAGTACGTGAGTATGTGGTTGGCCCTAGGCTCGGCTCTCGGCGCATCGCCTATAAGCAGGCCCCTCGCGGCGCGGCCATGAAGCGAGCCCCCGGAAATTCGTGCAAGCGGACGGCCGACAGCGATGCGAGACGGGCCACAGCAACATCAACAGCTAAAACGGCAGGAAAAAATCTGCGCCCGCGGTGCGAGGAGCATTTCTCATTCGCAACGCACATATAGAATTGCAAGGCTATGCTGTATTCAGAATTTGTGAAGCAAGTAGAACGCAAGAGACAGAAATCAGCACCAGCAGCAGAGATAGCGACTTGGACGCGCGCGCGCCCTCACTGCAACACACGCTTTGCACCCGAACGAGCAGCGCGTGCACGCAAGACCCAGTGCAGAGATCGCCGTCTAGCTGCCGGGCTCAGAGTTGCCCCATTCATGACTCCCTTTGCCGTGCTCTTGGCCTGCAGCCTCGTGGCCTTCAACCTTTCCTCCGGGGCCCATGGCCGACGGTCTCGAGCGGGCGCCGAAGGCTCTGGGCGCGGCGGGCTCCAAGGACGCGGCGGGGGGGGGGGGGGCAAGGGCAAGGGCGATGGGGCAGAGCAAGCAAGGGAACTTCCAGAACCTCCCGCGAGCGCTGGAGAACGCGTTGGCGGCCCACGAGCGCAAAGCCCATTTGCTCGTGGATCGCTCCTCGCTCGCGATTTTGGTCAAGAGCAAGGAATTGAAGGCCGAGGCCGAGAGGCTGCGCGATGCCCACCGCGCGGCGGAGGCGACCCGCCAGGAGAAGCACACCCAGGCGCTGTCCGAGGCGAAGGCCGCCAACAAGGCGGCCCCGACCATCGAGGCGCATAGCATGTGCTCGCAGCGGGCGCTCCTCTTCGCCATCGAAGAAGCTGGCCGCGCTCATCCCTGCGGAGGCGGGCGCCCCGAAGGAGGCCGTCACCTGGCCGGCGCCCCTCAAGACGGCCCAGGTCAACGCCGTCGTTTTCAGGGTGAAGGCGAAGCACGACGCACCGAAGGAGGGGCGGCCGCGGGTTCGGGGTGCCCTGAGGTCCGACTCGCACTCGGCGGATATGCAGCGGCTGGAGGTCGCCCTGAGCAGCGTGATGGATTAGAGCAAAGCGAATCGGGCGGGCGCGGCTCAGGCCCCCCCCCCCGATGCACGCGCAAGACGGGCCGACGATCAAGTGGTTGATGTCGCTCAGGACTGGCGGCGGCAAGAAGCAGCAAGAAGAAGAGGGCGAGGAGATGGAGGCACCCGAGCAGCCGACAAAGCCCAAGCGAAAGTAATTTTCTATGAGTGCCCCATGCAGGTTCCCGCGGTCTTCCTGGCTTTCGACTCGCAGCGCAGTTGGTGGTTGGAGCTGGGTTGTAGATATCCTCTTTTTCCCGACGCTCGTCATCGTCTTCCTCTTTACCCCGCGGCGGGCCCGAGGGGCTTCCCCTGGGGGGGGGCTCAGGCGCCGCCGTGGGGCGCGCCGCCTCGGCGGCCCCTGGGGCTGCCTCACTGGCCCCCCATCGGGGGGCATCGGCTGCGGCTACTACGACAGAGCGGGCGAGAGGCTATCTGCCGTGGAGGCGGTTCTTCTGGGGCGCGGTGGCGGCAAAATTCACTGGCGTTTTACGACTGCACTGGCACGGCCCTCGCATCAGTCTGCAACATCCATGATGCCCCCTCAGGCTGGGCCTTCGAGCGCATCCCGCCAGCACTGCAAGCGCTGCGCTGGCCGCGGGCCATGGATTGGCGAGGCGCTCGCCAAGGACACGGGCGTTCCCGTTTCCGTGCTGGAGCAGACTCACAAGGGGCATGTCGAGGCCGCTAAGAAGACCGAGAAGGGCCCGGACGGCGGCTCATTCCCAGCCTACCCCAGCGGCAAGTCTTGGGGCGAGGCCAGCGGTAAGACGGGTTCGGGCAAGAAGTTCTACCCTCTCGCGGACATCTACCTCATTCCCTTCGCTCTTTTGCACGCCGCGGGATACGCCCAGGGGGTCGGCGCGAGCGTGGAACACCTCAACTGTGCTTCGGCACCGCTCCTACGGGAGCGCTGATTTTGAGCGCGGCTAACAGATGACATCGGCCACCACATCGGTGGCTCGGGTTCGCCATCTTTTTTCGCAAGGGGGGGGGGGCCTGGCCCTCAGGGGCAAAATGAGTAACCTGTAGTTGGTCGAGGACAGTCGCGGCGGGCGCCCAGCGTGGTGATCACTGATCAGGAGGATGGCACCGTTGCCCGCACTGGACGGCGAGCCAATCGACAATCACCAAAGGCGCCACCCGGCGCCCAGTGCACCTCTTACGGAGAGCTGGAAGTTCGCGGTACAGAACGCTCAGGGCCTGAACTGGAGGCTTATAGCCCACCGTGATAAGCTATGGCACCTACTGCATGCCGCAACGTCGGAGACGTGGGACTTGGCTTTTTTGTCCGAATATCACGGCGAGGAGCAGTGTCGAGTCTATCTTGAAGAGTTCCTTCTTCTTACAAGTGGACGCGCTGCGCTTTTACTTGGGCCTCGCGCCCGGCGCGCATGTGAACAGGGGGGCGGACGCTGGCATCGCAAAGGAGATCGTCTAGTTGTCGCCCGCCTTCGCTTTGATAACAACGAGTGCTACAACATGATCGGCATTTATGGTCCGACCGGCGTGGCTGCAGCAGAGTTTCGCCCATGGCACCAACGTGTTTTTGAGTTCCACCATCGTTTAAGCATTCTGGGAGGTACACAAATTCGGGGAGGCGATTTCAACGCACATCGCGGCCCCGTTTTCTATTACGACTCTCTCCATACTGGCTCGCGCTGCTTACCCGCCGCCACAACAGCGGCGGGGAAGAAGTGGATGCAACTTTTGTCAGAGACTTCAGTATCGCTCGCTGACTCCTTCTTGTCATTATCTCGACGTGGCACGTGGCAACATCCGCAGACAGGCATGTGGTACGAATTGGACGGGATGCTGATTCCCACGACACATAAATCCAGTGCACAGCGCATTCGATAACAGCTTCGCCACAGATTTTCTGATCATGTGGGACGGGTTTACCTTCTGCACATGGGATCGGAAGCAGGACGCCGACAGAGACGTGCTCGACGCGCTGAATTTCTGGCCATTCACTACTGGGAGACGCGCAAACAGGACCCCGCCCCTTCCGAACTCAACGTCGGCCTGCTCAGCGGGAAGAGCGAATGTACTTCTATGCGCCGCCAGCTCATTCAGCGACGAGTGTAAGATAAGCTCCCGGACCTCCCGCTGAGCGACCCGTGGCCTAGCTCTTGCTCTACTGGGACTGGATCATCGAGCTCTTCTCCTTGGGCCACTCTTCGCGTCGCGGTGACAGAGGTACCTGACGAAGTGTTGGGGCGAGGTCGCCTGCATCCTTCCTATGGCCTTCCGTGCACCGAAGACGACGCCGTCGCGATCGCCAATCTCTGGACAGATATGGAAGCAGCACGTCGCCGCCTTGCGGGTGCTAAGCGGACGCCCCTGGAACCGACTACCCGGCAGGAGTTCAAAATGGCCAAGCGGAAATGGGAATATTTCAAACGGCTTGCACGCGCCCGATACGTTCGACAAGTCTGTGCAGAGATTATTCGAGCCATGGACATGGGTGATCGGTAGCAGTTCTACGCGTCATTGCCGAAACTGGGGGTCTATACTGCCAGTCGGACCCGCCACAGTGAAGAACCACATGCACTTGACGCCATTGCCAACTTCCTCGAAACTCTCGGGGCCGACCTAGTTGAGGTCACCGACGAGACTATCCAGCGGGGCGTTCCCCCGATCCCGCGCGACGAGAGCCTGGGCGCACAACCTGCGGACAAAAGAAATTCTCACAGCACCGACCGAGATGAATGACAGCGCGGCCGGCATCGACGCAATCAGCGTAGGCCTCCTGAAAACACTCGGTGCGAAAGGCAAGCAAATGCTGATCCGGGCCGTTTGGGAACTCTGGGGCGCTCGCCCGCAGGACTGGCCGGCCGATGTCGCGGGCGTCTTGGGATTTCGACTTTGCAGGAAAGGCCCTCGGCACGAATTGGGCAACTACCGCACGCTGTGGCTCATAAATGTGAATGTTAGTCTTATTTGTAAGGTCATAGCAGAAGGACTTCAGCATCACGCAGAATGCAACAACGTCTTCACGCAGACGCAGTGGGGTTCTCGCACGGAACGTAGCACGATCGGCCCATTTTTTATTGCAAGATGCATATTGGAAATGGCAGCGGAAATTGGGGAAGTGCCCGCTTCGCGGCTCCTGGCCTTGGTATTGCTTTTCTTGGACATCGAAAAGGCTTACGTCTCCGTCCCGCGAGCGGCGGCGGATCCAGTCTTTGAGCGCGCCAGGATACCTGAGTCGTTGCGGACAATCATACTTGGTCTCCACGGTTCATGTCAATACCGAGTTCGCACCACAGAATGGGAATCTAGGCTTTTTCAACTTGAAGAAGGGTTCCGCGAAGGCGATCCAAGCAGCCCCGCTTGCTTCAACATTTTCCACGGCAGCGTCACGCACGACCTCCGACCACAGCTATCGACACGTTTTGGGTCAGCGGTGGGAGCAGACATCGGCTGGAGCTCGCAGCAACCCTTGGGCCGACGACAGCACCGTGATCCACCGCGCATTCCGAAAGTCTTTGAACGCCTCGTAGATCTACTTTTTGCGGATGATACCTCCCTCTGGTGTCGAATGCAGGTTCTCCAGGAAGTAGAACACATGGCGCAGCCCATCATGGGGGAGTGGGGAAAAAGGTACACATGGGCAAACAGGAACGACTGGAAGCCGGAAAACGTTCACAACGATCACGACGACGCATTCGTGGCAAAAAGACCCCTGCCCCCCCAGCAATGCCCGACCCCGAGACGGAGCAGCACGACAAGGCAGTCAAATTGTTGGGAGGATGGCTGGAACCCAATGGATGCCACAACGTTGACACAGGTAAAAGGATCCAGGCGGCTCGACGTCTCTGGGCTAAGGTTTTTCGACAGCTCTCTCGCCGAGGACTTTCTGACCGAGATCTTGGAAGAGTTCTCAAAGCCACAGCGGAGGCCCCCCTTCTATGCGGACTGGAATGCCGAGCAGTTACATCTGTGCAACTCCAGCTAATCAAGAAATTCCACACCAGGATGGCGACGGGGGCCACGGCCACGAAACGCAGTGATATGCACGACCAACAGATCACAATGCAAGATCTACGCAAAGGGATCGGACTTGACCCAATCCACGTTTCCATCGGAGTCCAACAATTACGCTAGGTAGGAGACATGGCCAGGATGAGCGAGGATCGATGGGAGTGCAAACTTCTACGTGGATGGCTTCGCCCAGAACATGATCTCCCAGCAGCTCGGGGGGCTGGCTTCCGACAGCGCCCCACTACCAGGCAACAGTTGTGGCAGCGCATTCGTGGAGTCATGCAATTCACAGACCATCCAGAGGACACTCGGCAGACGGCATGGTACTCGGTAGCGGCAGACAGGCGACTCTGGAAACGTTTGACGGCCAAGTGGGGAGCCCGCGAACTCAAACGAGCAGCTGAAGATGAATGGGCCAATCGACATGGACCAGATGGAAAGGCCACTCGACGCGAACGCACCCGCTTGCAATCTCGAGAGATCATCCGGGGCATTTCCATTGACGCGAGCGGAAGAGGACAATGCCCTCACTGCAGAGGCCCGTTCACGCAGACGACGCCGGCGCAACGCATGTCCTCACGCATAACCAAAACTGGCGACCAACGGCGCCAAGCAGCAGCTGCCCGAGAACGCCGCTTACACCGAGAAGAACACGGATCTGAAGTGCCAGCCGCGAAACGTTGGCGAGCGGAGCTGGGCGCCATCAAGGCCGCGATTATGACGGCAGCTTCGCGGATGACAACGCGCCCCCTCGCCAAGGCACCTCGCGCCACGCACTCCGCAGCAGATTTGAGCGTACGTCGGCGATTACGATGAAAACTATCGGCCCCCATCGCTTACCAGACCGCGTGCTTCGGAGCGCAGGGCAAATGACGCCGGCAAAGCTTGGGACTGAAATCGTCTACTTCGCTATCGACGCCCACACCGGCCACGGTCGCTGCTACCGGGCTCAAGCGGCCACGACTCAAAGGAAAAAGCAGCATGGACAAACTACGCATTAGATCTACTTCTACCGGGGCATCATCATCAAGCAGGGAAGGCAGAGGGGGAGGAGGCGCGGGACACGGAGGAGGAGGACACGGAGGAGAACAAGGAGACGCATCCAGGACATCCCGGGCCACCCCAACCCGATCAAAATCAGGAAGGCGAAGGGCAAGGAGGAGCATGCTGTGATAGGGCAAAGAAGGCCGACGGCGCTCACAGGTCTACCTGCGCCTTCCAGGCCCCAGGATATGATATCTCGAAGTGCTCGTTCTGCAACGCTCGTTTTCCAGATACCCGAACATGTTTTATACATATGAAGGTTTGCACAAGTACGCCCTACGACGCGCGGCTTGCTCGAACAAGATACGTGAACGACGTCGCCAGAGTCAAGGCGGAGTTCCCGTGTATTCATTGCTGCACTTGCTATACCACAGCGCACGGAGTCGCACGTCGCGCCCGCAGTTGCTTGGAGAGACGCGCATTGCATGGGCTCCCCCTGAATTCCAACACGTTTCCCAATGTAGCGCCCGACGCAGCTCAAATCGTATTGCGCCAACATCGTGGCCGAGTGGGTGCTCAGAAACGCCAGGCCAGTGCTGTGTAATCGACGGGGGCTACAGTTATGGACATGGAGGAGGATACGCTCACAGTCGCACGCGTATATTTTCACATCGAAGAGTTGTATAACAGCAATATTGAGTGAACAGCTTTTTCTTGGAACTCGTATAGTTGGTGTTGGTGCTCTGCGCGCGTCATTGATAACCGCTGGTTGGGGGCAGCCCGCAGGAATTGCCCTGGGTGCACTTCTCTTCAGAATGCCGACCGCTATGGGCAACAACAGCCATAGCTTCCTCAGCGCGCCCTCTCATAAACAGCACCAGCACCACCGCCTGCTCCGATTGACTCTCCGCCATCCACCTCAAGCTCTTACTGTTGGTATCCACGGTGTTGGTGCCCTGCACACGTCATTGATTACAGCTGGTTGGGGGCAGCCCACAGGAATTGCCATGGGTGCACTTCTCTGTTCGCAATGCCAGCCGCTATGGGCATCAACAGCCATAGCTTCCTCAGCGCGCCCCCTCGCAAAAACGGTGCCAACGTGAAGATCCACCTACAGCAACTGCACCATGCTCGCCATCAGCATTACCTTCATCACGGAGGCGGGAGTGAAGGAGGAGGATTTCACAGAGGAAGGGGGAGTTGCCGAAGTGCTTGCTCGCGGTGCCGAATTGTGCGATGGCGCTGTCAGGTCACAAGCCCGCGTTTCCAAATGCCCGCTCCGGGGTGCTAGATTACAAGCCCGCGGTGCCGAATTACTTGTCCGCGCTGCTATATTGCAAGCCCGCGCTGTCGAAGGTCAGGGTCGCGCCGCCGAATGCCGAGCCCACGCCGCTGCGCGAGGCCGGGGGGGGGGGGCGAGATGATCTCTCGAAGTGCTCGTTCTGCAACGCTCTTTTCCGGATACCCGAACATGTTATATGCGCACGAAGGTCTGCACAAGCATGCCCTGCGACACGTGGCTTGCTCGAACAAGATACGTGAACGACGTCGCCGGAGTCAGGGCGAAGTTCCCGCGCACGCATCGCCGAGGCGGGAGTGAAGGAGGAGGATTTCACAGAGGGGGGAGTTGCCGAAGCGCTTGCTCGCGCTGCCGAATTGCGCGATGGTGCTGTCAGGTCGCAAGCCCGCGCTGCCAAATGCCCAGTCCGGGTTGCTAGATTACAAGCCCGCGGTGCCGAATTATTTGTCCGCGTCGCTAAATTGCAAGACCGCGCTGCCGAAGGTCAGCGTCGCGCTGCCCGACATCATATCCACGCCGCTGCGCGAGAAGGGGGGGGGGCGGGGGAGGGCAGAAAGTGCACAATGGCCCCGGGCCAGGTTTTCAACAAATATTGGACACTCCCGTATCGGAGCCTGTGCGGACGGAGCAGTGGGCAGCTGTCAGGGGACAGGGGAGATCATTTTGCAAATCTCTGCCAATGATTTCATGTTGTAGCCAGTTCGGCTAGGGCTGTCCGTGCATCAGCGCGCGGCCATCGTCGTCTCTTGTAACACTACTCTTCAGCAACGGACGCCGCAGCCATGCGGGCGGCACTGGCAGCAGCTCAGAACGACCAGGCTGCGCCGGCACGCCCAGGCCGGGCCCCAGACGGCACGGGGGCGCGGGGCAGCAACGGCGATGCTGACGTGCTCACGGCGCTCTTGCGTGATCATTTATTTCTCAGACGAGAGATGCGGCCTGTAGCAGATGCAGTTCAAATAGCCGTATTTTTTCGTGGCAAGGCAGAGACGGACGCTTTCTACATTCTCGGTCAGAAGTGGGCGAGCAACCACCCCGAGGGAGGCGGAAAGAAGCGCAAGGCCGAGGGCGAGGGGGGCATGGCGGTCGACGGGGGGAAGGGTGCCGCGCCTATCTCCAAAGGTTCCGCGGGGGCCTCGGCGGAAGGGCGGCGCGCCCCGCCCGCGGGGCCACAAGAAGACTTTCATGCTCCACGCGTTCTTTACCAGGATGCGCGAGACGGCGCCCGGTCTGGAGCCTGACAAGACCGCCGGCCTCACGCCGCAGGCAAAGGAGGCCGGGGACATGCACCTGGCTATGTTCACGCAGCTCGGGCCCAAAGACTTCGACCGGTTGTTCTCTGGGATCGCGTCGCGCTACCCGAAGCCGATGGGCGACAGGACGTGGCTGTGGGCGCCCACCGTCAATCTCGTGATGATCCCCGAGGACCTCCGGCTCAGCTTGGGTCATGTCATGGAGATGGCAGAGTGCGACGGCGTAGATGTCAGGGTGGAGTTGAAGCAATCCAACCAGGGGAACCCCGAGGAGCAGCTCTGGACGACGCTCAGGGTCAGGGAGCGTCGGCGCTAGTAGATGCAGCCGGGTGGCGCCGGCGGCGACGGTGCTCAGGGCTTGGTTTTCTGGCTCGCGGGGCACCCTGGCCCCCCCGCCCACTGAGGGGGGCCGGCGCGCGCCTGGCTCGGACACGGGCTGAGCTTCTCTCCACCCTTCGCAGTTTTTTTCCGCAGGTAAGGGGTGTCGCGCCGACTCGTCCCACGACGTTCTCCGGCTGATCATCGCTCAGCACTGTCATCGTTTTCCGGCTGGCCGGGCGAGGGGCGCGACAGCATTGAGAAGAGGGCTGCTGATTACTTGGATTTTTGCATGCATTGGACACGTCGCAGCACGATGACACCAGCATCTGCGACTCGTCCGCCACCCAAGTACAACGGCAATATTTTTCAGACACGTCTTAGTTCACTTCGTACGCTATGCCTCAGATATGCGCGCCACGGCGGACTCAAATTTTTGGAAGGGGGGCAGTTGCTCGGCCACCCGCACTTTGTCAACGTGCTGTTTTCGGTCGTCTTCCTCGGCGGCTACTTGCTTATCCTTGACCTGCCCGAGGGCTTCTCCGAGCTGGGCGACAGCTCCTCCGGCGCGACTGACACGCGCGAGGATTTTGCTCGCGACCGAGGAGGACGAGTGGGGAAGAGGCACTTCTGATGCACCTGTTCGTCTTCCCTATTTGTGCATTTCCCCTTCCACCTCAGAAGTTCTACCAGGGCGTATTCGACGGCCCCGCGGTGAAGGGCGAGCCCTTCTACGTGGCCATCATCACGCCAGTGATCCACTGCTGCATGGGCGGCCTCGAGATCGACGCGGACTCCGCCTGCGTCGGCGCCAACGGCAAGGCCATCCCGGGGCCCCGCGCGGCCGGCGAGGTCGCCGGCGGCGTGCGCGGCAACAATCGCTTGGGGGGCAATTCGTTGCTGGACTGCGTGGCGTTCGGCCGCGTGCCGGGCCTCGCCGCGACCAAGTGCATGCTGGGCGCGGACTGCAAGCCCGTTAGCCTGAAGGACCTCTCTGGCGGAGGCTTCACTGGCGAGGCGACGGCGTCCAAGAACGCGGGCGGCTCGTGCGAGGATGGCATGAACAAGGGCGCGGAGGGCGGAAAGGCAAAGGGCGGCGCCGCGCCCGCCGGCAAGGGCGGCGTCGAGGGCTACTCCATGGAGGAGGTGGCCAAGCACACAAGCAAGACCGACTGCTGGGCGGTCGTGGCTGGCGAGGTGCTCGACGCGACCTCGTTCCTGAGCCGGCACCCCGGAGGCGAGCTGGCCATCCTCACGTTCGCCGGGGAGGACGCCACCGAGGAGCTCAACATGATCCACCCTGCGGACGTGATCCCGAAGTGCGCCCCCGACGCCGCCATCGGCGTGCTCGGCGCAGGGGGCGGCGCGGCCCCGGCGGCGGCGGCCGGCGCCCCGGCGGCGACGGCGGCCGCGGCGGGAGAGCATGGCGCGCGCGACTGGAAGTTGGCGAACGACAGCCGCAACAAGCGGATGGGCGAGTACGGGCGCGTCCTGGGGCCCACGGGGGCTCTGATCTACATGGTCATCGCCTTCATGAAGGAGGTCCTCTTCACGATCTTCGGCCAGAAGAACTTCCAGTTCACAAACGACCGCATTGGCCTGACGCGCTCCGCGATGTTCATGTTCATCATCATCATCATCATCCACGCAGTTGGCAGCCTGCACGTGTTCCTCGGCCCGGACGACTTCAATGGGCATGGATACTTCTACGTCCGCCTCTACTGGACGGGCTTCGGCTCCAATGCCAACGTCGTGGAGGAGTGCGTCCTGCTCGCCGCGCTGCTCCACGTAGCGGTGGGCCTGAAGCGCATCTGGGACGTCTCGATCAATTACACCATCGCCTCTGGCAAGCTCAACCCCACGATCTCGGGCATCGCGTTGCTGTCCTTCATGAGCACCCACCTCTTCCAGTTCCGCTTCGGCGACACGCAGCCGTTCGAGCTGTGCCCGCCACCGTGCCTCATCAACGCGGCCACCCTGCTGGAGCTGACGCTGAATCCCTCCCGGGCCCACGACGCCGACTGCGTCAAGGCGAGCGCCCGCGACATCTACCGTATGGAGTTCGAGGTCTTCCAGTCCCTCGACCGGTGCCTCTTCTACATCAGCGCCGCGGCCATCTTCGCCACGAACACGCGCCTTGGCTGGCAGAAGGCTGCCCCGGCACCTGCGCTCGAGATCCCAAAGCGCATCCACAACAAGGCGGTTCACATCGGCTACATCATGAGGGCCTTCATCGCGTTGGTCTACGTCAGCTTCCCGCTCTACACGCACATCTTCCCGATGTCCGACGGGGCGGCCGCCCCAGAGGCCCCGCTGCCCGCCCCCGTCGCCGCCGCGGGCCCGGCGCGAGCGGGCCGGCGACCATGGGCCCGGCGTTTCGAAGCGCTCTGCGGCCTCTCGATCGCGCTTCTCCATCGCCCCTGTTCCAGCAGCGCTTTCACTTAAGAGGGAGTTCCTTCGTGGTTTCCGAGCAACTGGCATGCATGTCCAGGTGTCCGCCAGGTCCCAGCCCGTGAGCGCCTCATGGGCGTTGCGTTCGCTGGGTTGTTCGCCTGGTCCCCGTCTGGGGCAGCCCGTGGCCGCTTGGGGCGCCTCGTGCGCTGGTTGGCGATTCTAGATTTGCTCCTGGTTGCGGCCTGCGTCCGCTCGCGGGCGCCTAGCGGGCGCCCTGTGCGCTAGCTGCACCACGGAGCTGGCGCCACATTGCTTCCACCACATACATTCCCTTTTCAACATGAGGATACAGTCTGTCACCCTCTCACCTCTGGACTCATCGGCACCAATTTGGGTAGTGCAGTTTAAACACGGTTCTGCTTGATCGCCCACTCCCCAAATGAAGTCATACCATCCCAGCCCAAATGGTATCGACCCCCCCTTTCGTACCTAACAAATATACCATGCGCGCACCCGTGCATCTCATGCGACGATAATTTGAGAATCCCTTGCAACAGCTGCACTAAATCCACACAAGCGCTCAGACCAAAGTCAGAGGCCAAACACGTTAGGCGTGCACTTGCTGAAATTCTTTACGCTTCGCGTATCCCCACCAGCCCATCTCACAACAACAACTCTTGCGAAGCATGCCGACAGTCGTGTTTTTCAGGCGTGTGTCCGCTTGCCCCCGCATATCTCCCCTGTTCCTCCTTCCTCCTGCCTCCTTTTACATCCTCCTTGTGGGGGGAGCGGGAGATGGTCGAGGCGAAGGAGGAGGGAGAGAAAACTCTCGTCCTGGTGTGAGTCGTTCGGGCCCTTCTTCCTGGTGTGAGTCGTTCGGGCTCTTCGTGGTGTGAGTCGTTCGGGCTCTTCGTCCTGGTGTGAGTCGTTCGGGCTTCTCGTGGTGTGAGTTGTTCGGGCCCCTCGTCCTGGTGTGAGTCGTTCGGGCCCCTCCTCCTGGTGTGACTCGTTCGGGCTCCTCGTGGTGTGAGTCGTTCGGGGCCCTCGTCGTGGTGTGAGTCGTTCGGGCTCCTCGTGGTGTGAGTCGTTCGGGCGCCTCGTCCTGGTGTGAGTCGTTCGGGCCCCTCCTTGTGGTGTGAGTCGTTCGGGCTCTTCGTGGTGTGAGTCGTTCGGGCCCCTCGTCCTGGTGTGAGTCGTTCGGGCTCCTCGTGGCGTGAGGCGTTCGGGCACCTCGTCCCCTTTTGGGGCGTCTTGGGGGCCTCTTGGCGGCCCCAGGGGCTTCTAGGAGCGTCTTGGGTGCCTTGGGGGAGCCTGTTCGGGCCTCTTGGGAGCCTCTTGGAGGCCGTTTGGGGCGTCTTGGGGGCCTCTTGGCGGCCCCAGGGGCTTCCAGGAGCGTCTTGGGTGCCTCGGGGGGGCCTCTTGGGGCCTCTTGGGGGCCTCTTGGGGGCATCTTGGGGGCCTCTTGGAGGCCTCTTGGGGGCCTCCTGGGGGTCTCTTGGGGCCATCTTGGGGCCTCTTGGTGCCTCCTGGGCGCTTCTGGGGGCCATCTTGGAGGGAATCGATCACAGAAGAGGGGAGCTTGAATTACTGTAGCGCTGCCCCCTCAGAAGGGCAAAATGAGGCCAACACCTTTGTAAAATCAATGATTCTGGCTTGAAAGAAGAGGGGAGCTTTAATTAGCGCTGCCCCCTCAGAAGGCCAAAATGGGGCCAAAACCGTAGTAAAATCAATGATTCTGGCTTCAAAGAAGAGGGGAGCATTTTTTCTCCCTCCCCCCGTCGGGGCCAGAATCCTCGTGAGGGGTGTCGTTTTTTAGCCCTCCCAGGCGTCGAACAAGACCACTCTGACCACCCGCGAGGCGCCCTCTCCAGGCCCAGGGGGAGGGGGTAGGGGGAGGGGTAAACCCCTCCCCGAAGGGGAAGAAGGGGGGTTGAGAACAGAGCGGGCTCTCTAAACCACTCACGCCCAAAGGGCTGGTGGGATTAAGGGGAGACCGTTCGAGTTTAGCCAGTTCGCCCTGAACCCGCATTATCATGTCACCACAATGTGCATCGGCGTTGATCTAGCGCACGCCCAGTGCACGGACCCGCGTCAAAGAATAGCGTGCGGGCCACAAACGTGCGCCGCCACGCGCGCGTGTCGAAACTTTTTCCAAATCCAGAGGTGTTCGGAGCATTTCACAATAGAGCTCCTCCGACAACCTGTCCGAAACAACAATCGCCTCCATTGCCACCATCATCAGACCAATCACTTTCACTGTTGACACAGGGACGTCATCGTAATAATCGTCATCGTTATCATCATCATCAGCATCATCATGATCATCATCATCCGCCATCAGGTTTCGTATCATCACCATCATACTATCATCATCGTCATCATCAGCAGCAGCACCACCATCGCCATCAGGATCATTAGCATCATCATCAGCATCATCACCAGCATCTGCGCGCCGCCGTCATTGGCCTCGTCGTCGTCATCGTCATCATCGCCACCACCACCACCAGTACTTTCATCATCGTTGCCGCTGTTGTCAATGTCATCATGGCACCGCGCCCACCCGAGTCACCGACCCACGCTGAAGCGCCCGCGCGCTAGCGCCGCCATTCAGACGCGCTGGGAATTGTCCACCGGTAAGCGTTGCTGTGGCCGCATCACTTGTGCCAAACCAGCTGGTATCCCTGCGCGCGAGCGTGCGCGCGCCAGCGCGGTCGTACAGATGCGGTAGCATGTGCCAATCCGTTGATGCAGTCGCGGCCGCATGGGTTTCATCCAAAAACATGCGGATGGGACGGTTGGGATGTTTGTGCGAGCAGTGGAGTTGTCGGCTTCAACTTCTGCCAGGTAGATCCTCCTGTCTAAAAAGACATAGGTTCTACCACACACACACCCGGACTTAACCATACATATGGTTCTGCCCCGTCGTCCATCCTAAATACGAATTTGCACTATCCCAGGGGGGGCCGGTATCGCCCCCCCCCCCGCCGCATTCAGCAACAAGTTCTATGCGCGCACACCCACTTATCAAAAAACAGAGGTTTCAAGAATCCCTTGCAACAACTGGGACGACGTGCACGCGCGCGCGTCGTCGCGCGCGCATGCCGAAATCCTTCAAAAACCTTCGGTCTCGGAAGGATTTCAAAATCGAGTTCCCCAAAAAACATACAAACACACAAGGTATCGCAACACAAATTCCCCAACAAAATTTACGCGAGTGCTCTTGCGAACCTTTTGTTTTTGAAGACAGTTTTCATGATTTTGAAAGTATGCTACCAGAAGGGCTTCGCGCGCGCATATCGAAATCGTTCGAAGGCCCTTGCGCGCGTGCCGTCGCGAGAATCTTCTGCAACAAATAGACGAAGTGCACGCACGCGCGTCGTCGCGCGCGCATGCCGAAATCCTTCAAAAACCCTAGGTTTCGGAAGGATATCAAAATCGACTGTCCAAAAAACATACAAAAACACATGGTTTCGCAACACGGGTTTTCAACAAAAGCGTGCGCGCGCGCTCTTGCGTCGTCGTCGTCATCGTCGTCGTCCTCCCTCCTCCCTCGTCGTCGTCGTCGTCGCCGTCGTCCTCTGTCTTTCCTTGTCGTCGTCGTCGTTCTCCTCCTCCTCTTTGGTGTCGTCGTCGTTTCCGTCGTCGTTATCGCCGTGGGCGTCCTTCCTCCTCCGTCGTCGTCGTCGTCGTCGTCGTCCGTCGTCGGCGTTTCGTCGTCGTCCCTCCTATTTCGTCGCCGTCGTCGTCGTCGTCGTCGTCTTCCCTCCTCCCTCGTCGTTGTCGTCGTCGGCGTCTCCGTCCTCCCACCTTCTTCGTCGTTCGCGTCGTCGTTCTCCTCCCTCCTCCCTCGTCGTCGTCGCTGTCGCTGTCGCCGTCGTCGTCCTCCCTCCTCCTCCTTCGTCGTCGTCGTCTTCGTTGGCGACGTCGTCGGCGTCGTCGGCGTCGTCGTCGTATTCGTCGGCGTCGTCGTCGTCAGCGGCGTCGTCGTCGGCGGCGTCATCGTCGTCGTCGGCGTCGGCGTCGTCGTCGGTGTCGTTGTCGTCGTCGAAGTCGTCGCAATCGTCGTCGAAGTCGTCGCAATCGTCGTCGGTGTCGTCGTAATCGTCGTCGTCGGTGTCGTCGTCGTCGTTGTCGCTGTCGTCGTCGGCGTCGGTGCCGTTGCCAAGTGCCATTTGGTACCTCCCCTCACGGTCTTAAGAGGTCTTGCGACCAAGTTGTGGGTGGGAGGTTGGGATGTTTGCGCGAGCAGTGGAGTGGACAACTTCAAGTTGAGCAAGTCATCGATTGCACCCCGTAGGTTGCTCCATTGAAGTAGCCTGCGCTACACCTGCTTCACCACGGGGTGCGGCGCACAGCTTCTCCCACGGCGCTTGCACCGCACAACGTCCACCACAGAGCCTGCACGTCCAGGGTGCACAGACTGACCGTTTGGGGCCCACGCTGGCAGCAACGATTTCCGCCATCCCTCCATCTTGCACCCCCTTCTTTCCAGTGCTCCGTCCAATCGCGAGCCCGCGCGTCGCGGCCGCGGCTGTCACCGGCGCTGCCGATGGTCACGGGCTAGAAATAGTACCGCGTGGGGAGGGGGCAGCTCGCTCGAATCACTGGAAGGCACGGCCGGACACAGGCATGATCTCGGGCTGCAATCTCGGATGCGTGTGCGCAGGTCCCCCCCGGGGGTCGCGGAAGGACTCAGAGCCGCGGGCGGTCTCGTGTGACACTCGCCGCTGGAAGGGCGAGCCCCATGAGGTATGTTTTTGTGTGTGCCCCATCCCTCGGCCCCCCCTCATCCACCTCATCCTCCTCTTCCCCCCGGATCCCTCTGGCTCAAGCCCATTTTGCAGCATTGGCTAGGGTGTATAGCTAAATTTTTCAGAGCCTACACCTGACGGTGTTGTCTTCACTGCTATACACTCGGCAGGCAACCATGGCTCCCCTCACCATGGCGGAAGTAGCCAAGCACACGAGCAAGACCGACTGTTGGGTAGTGGTGGCTGGTGAGGTGCTCGACGTGACCTCGTTCCTGAGCCAGCACCCTGGAGGCGAGCTGGCCATCCTCACGTTCGCCGGGAAGGACGCCACCGAGGAGTTCAACATGATTCACCCTCCGGACGTGATCCCGAAGTACGCCCCTGACGCTGCCATCGGCAAACTTGGGGCAGGCGGAGGTGAGGACAAGCCGAAGAAGGAGAAGAAGGAGAAGAAGGTGAAGTCAGCCGGCGGTGGCGGCGGTGGCGGCGGCCTCACCATGGCGGAGGTGGCCAAGCACACGAGCAAGACCGATTGCTGGGTGGTCGTGGCTGGTGAGGTGCTCGACGTGACCTCGTTCCTGAGCCAGCACCCTGGAGGCGAGCTGGCCATCCTCACGTTCGCCGGGAAGGACGCCACCGAGGAGTTCAACATGATTCACCCTCCAGACGTGATCCCGAAGTACGCCCCTGACGCCGCCATCGGCAAACTTGGGGCAGGCGGAGGTGCCGACGAGGATGACGACTCGGACGAGGACGACGACTCGGATGGTGATGAGGAGGAGGTTGTCGGTGGTGGCGGCGGGTACAGCCCGGAGGAGGTGGCGAAACACGTTACCAAGGATGACTGCTGGGTCATCCTCGGCGGAAAGGTGCTCGACGTTACCTCCTTCCTGTCGCAGCACCCAGGGGGCGAGCTGGCGATCCTCACGTTCGCCGGCAAGGACGCCACGGCGGAGTTCGACATGATCCACCCTCCCGACGTGGTCGGCAAATACGCGCCAGACGCCGTCATCGGCGACGTCGGCAGTGGCGGCGGCGGCGCGAAGAAAAAGAAAGAGAAGGCGCCCAAGAAAGGCGGCAAGCCAGTCATCCTGGACAAGGGCGGAAAGATCGCCAACCACCAGGCCTGGGGGCACCTGGACGGCCGGGACAATTGGCGCGAGGGCGTCATGGACAGCAACCCGGGCGTGTTCTTGATCAACGTGCGGGCCTATTTCTACGCCGCTTGGTATCTGCTGAGCGCCGTCCTCTACGAGGTCGCCGCGACGATCTTCGTCAACAAGAACTTCAAGATAACTGGCGATCGCGTCGGCCTCACCCGCAGCGCGATCTTGCTGGTCCTGTTCATCGTCATCCATGCCGTCGGCAACCTTCACGTATTCAAGGGCCCCGATGACTTCAACGGCTACGGCTACTTCTACGTGCGCCTGTACTGGACTGGCTTTGGGCTCCCCGCCAACATCGTGGAGGAGTACATCCTGCTCTCGGTCCTCCTGCACGTGCTCGCGGGCCTCAAGCGCACTTGGGACACGTCCCTCGGCATGTTCAAGAACAATCCGCGAGCACTCGACCTCGCCTGCACGGGCCTGGTCCTGCTCACCTTCATGACGGTTCACTTGTTCCAGTTTCGTTTCGGCGACACCGACCAGTTCGGGCCGTACATGATCCGCCCCCCTCCCTACCTCATCAATTTCTGGGGCGTGTTCGAGCTCGACCTCTTCTGGACGAAGGACGCCTCGATCCAGCCGGTGGGGGTTCGCGACATCTACGCGCTCGAGTTCAAGCTCTTCAACGATTCCAAGGCTCTCAGCCTCTTCTACATGTTCGCGGTGGTCGTGTTCATGGTCCACGGTTGCCTCGGCTGGAAGAAGCTCGCCCCAGCGTCGGCCTTCGGCATCCCGAAGAAGCATATCCCATTGGTGACCAAGTACGGCTACGCAATCTTCATTGCGGTCGGCCTCGTCTACATCTCGTTCCCGCTGTACTGCCTCTGCACGGTCCCGTTCAACGGCTACGAGAAGGACATCAACTCCGGCCGCGTCGAGCGCTGAGTTCCCAGCTTGCCACGCAGGGAGGTCAATCGTCGTTCAATCTCTCTCGCAGGCGTGTAGCCCGAGGGATTTGTTGCCCAGCAGTCGTACCTCTGTCAGGTGAGCGGCAGTGTGGACCAGCCGACGTAGGTACGCTCCCAAGAGGATCAATCGCGTATGTGCTCGAGTGTGTCTTGTGTCTCCCCTGTGCATGTGATGCAGTCGCTCCGCCAGCTCAACAGTGTGTTTGTGTGTGTGTGCGTGTGTGTGTGTGGGTGCGTGGGTGTGTTTTGTGTCTGCTCTTTGCATGTCTTGTGGTCGCGCCTCCAGCTCAATATTGAGCGTGTGTGCGCGCGTGTGTGTCTGTCTGTGCGCGTGTGTATGTGTGTGCGCGGGTAGGTGTGTGTATGTCTTTGCGTCTGTGAGCCTATGTGTGGGTGTGTGTTGGAAGGCGTGTCTGCGTGCGTGTGTGTGTGTGTGTGTGTTACGCCGCCTCGTCGCCGCGCGCGAGGCCGCTACCGCGCAAACTTGTGTATGTGTGTGTGTGTGTTGGTGTGTGTGGTGTATGTGTGTGTTGTGTGTACTGTGTGTGAATGTGTGAACGGGTAAATGTGTGGATGTGTGTGTGGGTGTGAGGGTGTGTGTTGTGTCTGCTCTATGCAGATGTTGCCGTCGCGCCACAAGCTCAATAGGTTGTGTGAATGTGTGTGTGTGTGTGCACGTGTGTGTGTGTGTGCGTCCGCATGTGTATGTGTGTGGTGTGTGTGGTGTGTGTGGGTGTGTGTCTGTGTGTTTGTCTATGTATGTGTCTCTGTCCGTGTGGCTGTGTGTGTGCTGGTTTGTGTGCGTGTGAATGCATTGTTCCGCCCCGTCGCCGCGCGCGAGACCGCAATCTCGAAAGAAGCGTGTGGTGGGTGTGGTGTGTGTGTGGTGTGCAGTGTGTGTGTGTGTGTACAGTATGTGTATGTGTATGGCCATGTGCATGGCTATGTGCATGTGTGCGTATGTGTATGTGTGGCTGTGTCCGTGTATGTGTCTGCGTGTGTGTCTGTGTCTGTGTGTGGGCGTGTGCGTGTGTGTGCGTGTGTGTATGTGGGCGCGTTTGTGTGTATGTTCGTGTGTGTATGTGCTGTGTGGTTGTGTGTTTGTGTGTATGTTTGTGTGCCTGTCTGTCTGTGTCGTTGTGTCTGTGAGTACGTGTGTATGTGTGTCTGTGTGTATATGTGCCCGTGTGTATGTGTGACTGTATGTCTGTTTGTCAGTGTGTGTGCTTGTGCGCCGAAGTCGCTGTGTCGTTGTGTGTCTGTATGTCTGTGTGTCTGCGTGTCGGTGTGTTTGTGCGCCTCTGTGTTGTGTCTGGTCTGTGCATGCGTTGCGGTCGCGCCGACAGCTCAATAGTGTATGTGTGTGCGTGTGTAGTTCTATGTGTGTGCGCGTGGATGTGTGTGTGTGTGTGTGTCGTTGCGCGCGTGTGTGTGTGTGTGTGTGTGTGTGTGTGGGTGTGAGTGTCTGATTGAGTGTGTGTGTGTGTGTGTCTGTTTGTGGTTCTGTGTGCATGTGTGCCCGTGGGTGTGTCTCTGCCTCGTCTCCGCGTGCGAGGCCGCTACCGCCAAGAAGTCTGTGTGAACGTGTGGACGCATAAATGCGTGAATGCGCGAATGCGCGAATGCGTTAATGTGTGAATGTGTGTGTGGGTGTGTGGCTTGCGTGATTCGTGTGTCCGTGTGCCAATGCGCCATCTAGGTGCGGCTTTGTGTGTGTATCTGTGTGTGTGTGTCTGTGTTGCTGTGTCTGTGTGATGTGTTTGGTCGGTGCATGTGTTGCGGTCGCGCCGCTATCTCAAAAGTGTGTGGGTGTGCGTGCTGGTGTGTGTGTGTGTGTTTGTGTGTGCGTCTGTGTGTGTCAGTGTATGTGTGGGTCTGCGTGTGTGTGTATGCCCGTGTCAGTGTATCGGTGTGTATGTGGTTGTCTGTGTGTGTGTCTGTGTGTGGTCCTGTGTGTGTGCCTGTATGTGCTTGTGTGTCTCCGTGTGTGTTTCGTTATGCTTATGTGTGTGTGTGTGTGTCTGTGTGTGTCCACGTGTCTCTGTGTTTGTGTGTGTCTGTGTGTATGTGTGTGTTTATGTGTGTCTGTGCGTGTGTCTATGTTTGTGTTTGCGTGTGTGTCTGCGTGTGCCTGCGTGTGTCTGTGTGTGTTTGTGGGTACGCGCCTGTGGGTGTTTGTGTGTGCCTGTCGGTGTGTCTGCGGGTGAGTCTGTGTTTGTCGGCGTGTGTCTGTGTGTGTGTCTCTGCGTCTGTGCGTGCCTGTGTGTCTGTGTGTACGCGTGGCTGTGTGTTAGTGTGTCTGAGTGTGTCTGTGTGTGTGGCTGCAGTGTGTGTCTGTGTGGTTGTGTGTGGTGTGCGTGTGTGACTGTGTGGGTGTGTGTATGTGTGCTGGTGTATGTGCGTGTGTGTTTGTGTTTCTCCGCCCCGTCTCCGCACGCGAGACCGCACTCGCCCAAGAAGTGTGTGTGTGTGTATGGTGGTTCGTGGTGTGTGTAGTGTGGTGTGTGTGCATGTGGGGATTGCTATGTGTGTGTGTGTGTGCGTATGTGTGCGTATGTGTGTGCGTGTGTGTCCGTGTCTGTGTCTGTGCATGCGTCCGTGTTTGTGTCGGTGTCTGTGTCTGTTGGTGGGCGTGTGCGTATGTGTGGACGTGTGTGTGTGAGGGCGTGCGTTCCGCGAGCGCGCTTCCTGCTATTCGACCTCCACCCTGTCGCTGCGCGCAGGGCCGCGACACCAAAACAATGGGCGTGTGTGTGTGTGTGTGTGTATGTGTGTTTGTGTTTGTGTGGTTGTGTGTTTGCGTCTGTGTGTCTGTGTGTCTGTGTGTCTGTGTGTCTGTGATGCCTGTGTGTCTGTGTGTGTCTCTGTGTGTGTCTCTGTGTCGGTGTTTCTGTGTGTGTGTGTGTGTCTGTGCGTTTGTGTGTCTGTGAGTCTGTGTGTCTCAGTGTCTCTGTGTCTCTCTGGCTGTGCGTCTGTGTGTTTGTGTGCCTGCGTGTCTGTGTGCCTGTGTGTGTGTCTACTTGTCTGTGTGTCCGTGTGCTCGCGTGTCTGTGTGTCTGAGTGTCTGTGCGCCCTCGCGTCTGTGTGCCTGCGTGTGTGTGTGTGTGTCTCTGTGTCTCTGTGGCTGTGTGTCTGTGTGTCTGTGTGTGCCTGTGTGTCTGCTTCTCTGTGTGTCGGTGTGTCTGTGCGTCTGTGTGTCTGCGTGTCTGCGTGTCTGTGTGTCTGTGTGTCCGCTTGTCTGTATGTTTCTGTGTCTGTGTGTCCGCCGCGTGTCTGTGTGTCTCCGTGTGTCTGTGCGTCTGTGTGTCTGCGTGTCTGCGTGTCTGTGTGTCTCTGTGTCGCTGTGGCTGTGTGTCTGTGTGCCTGTGTTTCTGTGTATCTGTGGAGCGGTTAGTATGCGTGGGTCTGTGTGTGTCTCTGCGTCTGTGTGTCTGTGCCTGTGTGTCTTTATGTCTCTGCGGCTCTGTCTCTCTGTGTCTGTGTCTTTGTGCCTATGTGCCTGTGCGTCTGTGCGTCTGTGCGTCTGTGTGTCTGTGTGTCTGTGTCTGTGTGTACGTGTTGGGTGGGATGTGTGTGTGGGCTTGCGTGTGCGTGTGCATGTGCGTGTGCGTGTGCGTGTGTGTGCGTGTGCGCGTGCGTGGGCAAGGATGAATGTGTGTGTGTGTGTGTGTGTCGGTAGTCCCCTGCGCGAGCTCATGTCATGCTTGCTTCGATGTTGGACGCTTCTTAGCGCAATCAGCCCAGCCGGGGTGGCAACTGACTTCTTGCATTTGACAGATGCATTCGGCGCCCATTAGGCAATTGAGAAAGGGAGCGCGTCAAACTGCATTGTTTTGCATGTGTGGACGCATACGTCAGCAGGCGACAGTACGCACATTGTATGATATGTGTGCTATTGTTATGTGCTCTCTCTCTCTCTGGCCCTTCTCCTCTTGGCACCATCAGATTCCTCTGGCAGATCCAGGTCTATGTATGTATACATCGATCGGTCTCTCGTCTCTCTCTCTCTCTTTCTCTCGTCTCTCTCTCTCTCTCTCTTTCTATCTCTCTCTCCCTCTCTCTCTCTCTGTTCTCTCTTCCTCTCTGTGTGTGCTCCCCTCTCTCTCTATGTATCGCCCTGTCCCTCTTTCTCTTTCTATTTTTTTTTCTCTCTCTCTCTCTCTCTTTCTCTCACTCTCTCTCTCTCTATCTCTCTCTCTCTCTCTCTCTTTCTTGCTTTCTCTTTCTCTCTTTGTCTTATATGTATATATACATTTATGTATATATGTCTGTGTATATATATACCTATACGACCACCCTGCGGGTGATAAGAAGGTTGGGGGGGCAGCAATGGGCAATAGTCGGGCACCAGCGGGACACCAGCGGGACACCGGCGGGACACCAGCGGGACACCGCGGGCCACCGCTTGACGGGAGGAGCATCATTTGGTCCGGCCGCGGCCCAGCCACAGGAGGATTTCGGGACACCGCGCGCCACTGGCCGCCGGAGGAGAATCATTTGGTCCGGCCGCGGCCCAGTCACAGGAGGATTTCGGGACACCGGCGGAACACCGCGCGCCACCAGCCGCCGGAGGAGAAACATTTGGTCCGGCCGCGGCCCAGCCACAGGAGAATTTCGGGACACCAGCGGGTTGGAGGGTGAAAGAGGGGGTCTGCAACAGTGGGTCTTGGGTTGAATGGCCCATGTATGCTCAATGTATCGCTCGTGTATGCGATCGGGTACGATTGGCATCCAATGTTGACGGTCATGGAGGGCCAGTGGTTCGTGCCCGCGCGTTGCCCGCGCGGGCAAACGCGCCGTCCATGCATTATCGTTCATGCGTGCGGGCGTTCTTGCATATTGTGCGTGGGACGGCGAAGTGGAGTACAAGTGTGTCTTGGGTGTGCGATAGATGATCGCGTATGTTCCCAAACGATGACTTGTCGGCCCCCAAGACAGATTTGGAATGGGTTCCGCGATTGTCCCAAAATGTGAAGTCACATGTCCTTTTTACCCAGGTGTGAAGTTACTTGATCTCTCTCCCAAAATGCGAATTCACATTCTGGCCCCTTTCACAAATTTTCCAACGTAGAAATTCCAAAATGTGGATTCACAGATTCCTTTTTTTCCAAAATGTGAATTCACATGGTACTTTTTCCCAAAATGTGAATTCACATTTCGTTTTTCCCACAATGTGAATTCACATTTTGCCATGGCCTTCAAAGTCCCCAAAACTTAGGCGCAGTGTTCCGCATGTCAGACTGGCTGGGCAGATTTCGACACTCACCTCACCACTTTCGTTTATTCCAACCTTTTTTTTACTCCCTCAGCGCACGTTGCCTTCGTCGCCTTTCCCGAGCCCCCGGCCCCCTTGCTCCGTTTACCCTCAAGTCTCGCGCATGGATGCAGGCGCGGAGCTTCAAGTGGTTCCCCCGCCGAACACAGCAATCGAGGATGTATCGCCCATGCGTGGCCCATAAAGACCATTGCCGGGACCCTGCGCCCGACCCCCACTTTCACCCTCCAAGCGGGACACCGGCGGGACACCGCGGGCCACCAGCCGCCGGAGGAGAAACATTTGGTCCGGCCGCGGCCCAGCCAACAGGAGGATTTCCCCGCGCCCGCATGCACGCACAGCACGCACGACACGAACCCGAAACCGAAACCGATTTCCCGGTAGGTGGGGTCTCCGTTTCACGTCGGACTCACCCCCCAACCTCCGATATATGTTATGTGACCGTCGCAGTACTAATCCAGGGGGGGCCCACGAGGCTTGCAGGGTGCTTTTCGGAAGCAGCTTTGACCCCTCTTGGGGGCCGTGTCGGCGCCTCTTGGGGCCTTTGTTGCGCCCCTTGGGGGGCTGGGCCTGTTGGAGGCCTCTGTGGCGGTCCTGGCCCTCGAACAGACGGAAGAGGCGGCGGAGGGCGAGGAAGACGGGCCGATCGCGCGCCTTTCCCAGCCCCTGCCGACGCCGCCCCACGAGTGCGCCCAGCGCTCGCCGCCGCGGAGTTGCTAGGCCGCGCTGCTCTCCCGGGTCGGGCCACAAGTTCGCGATGAGTTGCCAAGTCGCGCTGATTTCCGGGGTCGCGTCGACTCCAGGTCACAAGTTGGGGCTCTTCGCCTGGGCCTCGCCGCCGCCAAACCACAAGCGCGCGCCGTCCCCCTGGCCCCCGCAGCCGCTGAGTCACACATTCGCGGCATTCCTCCGGCCCCTGCCGACGCCCAGCCACAATTTGGGAGCCCCCCTTCGGACCCAGGCGGCGGCCAGACGAGGTGACCAGCTCGTGACACCCCCGCTCTGTTCGCGACGCCTCCGTTGAAACGCCGACGGCCGAAGGGCAAGCAGCCCCCGGCCCCGCGGCAGGTCGCCGCCTGCCAGCCCCCCCCGACTCGACAACTTTCCAGGCTGGCGCCCGAGCTCGCCCCCGCCCAACTCAGCCGATGTAGTCGAGAAGATATCCTCGAGAGGCCCGGGCCACCGCCAGCGCGGAAAGCGCTCGAAATCTCACACGCCCGCATTGCAAGAAGCAGATACCACACGCGATGCATTGCCTCAACTGTCAATCAGCCCCGCGCCTGGTTGGGTTAGGTTCCAACATCAAGCGCGCGTGGCGGAAGCACTCCGACGCAGCGATCGCGACAAAGAATGCCATTTGTCCACATTGCGCGTTTGCTTGTCCATCCACTCGCGCGCGCGCTCGACACATTCTGCCACCGGCCTCCGCCGCCTGGCCGGCGGACGCAGCGCGGGGGAACGGTTGTTTGCGCTCGACCGGGGCTCTCTCATGCGCGCGCGAGCGCATCGCGCGCGACCTCGACGACAGATGCTCGCACGCCATATCCTTGAAGACACCAGCGACCAGCACGACCATCGCGCGCATCAGAGCCGCGTGGAGGGCCAAAGACCGGGAGCGCAAGGCGGCCGTCGGCGACGCCGCCCAGGGCCCGCGCGGGCACGGAAAAGCCAGGTCTCTCGCGCCGTTGCCGAGCCGGCCACTTGGAAAAGCAGCTTCCCCGCCGCGCGCGAGGCAAGCGCCCGCTCGCAGCGGGCCTGGGCGCAGCAAGACGACAACGGCTCCAGCGCCAATCATCGCGGGCATTCGACATCTCGTTCTTTGCGGCATCAGCGTCTACGCAATGCGCGGCGCCCGCCCCCCTCCCCCCCCACGCCCACCCCGCCGCCGCGCGCCCCCGCCCGCCCCGCCATCGCCAGGAAGAGGAGGACGAGAACGAAGAGGAGAAAGAGGAACGGACGCCTGCGCCGGACACCCGGGCCCCCAGTCGCCGATGAGTCACAACGCCGATGAGTCACAAGCCCACGTTGGATACCCGGCTATTGCCGTTGCCGAGTTGCCAGTTTGTCATGTCCCGCTGGCTTCCACCGTCGCCAGTCCACGAGCGCGCGCTGTCCGCCTGGGCCCTTCCACCGCCGGATCACATGCGCGCGCTAATTCGCCGTTGCCAATCTGTAGACGCGCGTTGTTACACCAGTTTCCGCCGCCGTTGCCTCGCCGACACGGCCATCAGCCCGGGCGTCTGGCACCGCGCTCCACGCGCAGGAAGCCACCTTCACCCCGGCGATTTCCTCACGGGATTTGCTCCCGATTGCCGCCATCCCCGTCGTCGCGCGCGCCCTGTCGAGATGCCTCGTTCAAAGCCTCCGTTCCTTGGCCACCAGGGCCCAATCTGCAGACGCGGCCGGGGAGCCGCACCGCCCCCAGGCCGCCGCCGGCGCCACTCGAGTAGCCGAGGCCCCCCGACAGCGGCGCGCGCCGGCGACCTGGTCAGCCGCTTCAACCGCATCGCCCCGCTTCGGGCGAAGCGAGCGGCGGTTCTGCACAGAATGCGGGACACCCGCGCCCAGCTGCTCTTCTCCGCGGACGGCGACACGCCCGCGACTCTCTGCGGCGGAGAGCACGCGGCCTCGCACTGGGCGACCAGGTCCCCCTGCCGGGGGCGGCGGCAGAAGCCGCCACGCAGTAGGCCATCTCGAAGCACGCGATCAATGGCCCGCAGTACAGTCGGGGCCCTGAAGAAGGAACCCTTTTCGTTGGGGAGGGGCTCCGTGTTCCTTAAGTGTTTCACAGCTCGCCTCAGGTTTTCCTTATGTTTTTGATCGGAAATCAAAGTTTAATTTATAGGAAAAACGGGCCTCGTTCCTTATTTTGGGTTCCTTTGGTCAAGGCCCCGACTGTATTTCGACACACGCGTCGACGACAGGACGGCCGTCATTTGTTTCGGATGCGGGCCAGCCTTGCACCTAGGAGATGGCGCGTCTGGACCGTCTCACCCGGCAGCACGAAGGCCCTAGGAAGGGCTTTGCGGCGGCGGTCTTCTTCGCCAGCGGCACCGACCCCCGCGCCCCAACTGCAGCATTGACAACCAGCAAATCGGCGCCGACATCGAGGCGATAGGCCCCCCCCAGTTCCCAATGTTTCTTTTGGTTTTGCAGGCTCAGAGGGGAGTGAGTGCTGGGAGGGAGGCCGCGGCGAGCATTGGAGCCCCCCCCCAGGAATAAAAAGCAAAGCAAAAAAACGCAGCGCTTCATTGTTTCATAAAACAAAAAACGTCTCCTTGCGCCGGGGGCGCCGACTATTGTGCATGTTTGGTTTTGGTTGGTTGAGGAAGCACAAAGAAGAGCGCTGAGAGGGAGGCCGCGGCGCATCCCAGACCAAAAACAACAATATAGCGTTTCTACGCACCGACGGCGCCAAACGCTGTCTGGCATTGGTGTTGCACGACTACAAAGAAATGAGGTGGATGAGGAGGAGGAGGAGGAGAAGGAGGAGGAGGGGGAGCTGCAGCAGGAGGAGGTGGAGGAGGAGACGGAGGACGACGACGAGCAATCGATCAACGAAGCGATTGGGGGGTCGACCATATACACACATACATACATTCGTATATAAGTGTATATATACACGTATATGTATGTATACACAAACATACACAGACATACATGCACATGCATGTACATCTACAAATACATTTACATGCACATATACAAATATAGAGACAGTGGTGTATATGTAGGTCGTTATCTCTCTCTCTCTCTCTCGTTCTCTCTCGTTGTCTTTCTCTCTGTATGGATGTCTTTCCTTTATATGTATATATATGTGTATATGGATTCACTGCCTCCTTCTATTATATATATGTATCCCTGAGTATCTCAGTTGATATATATATATATGTGTTTGTGTGCGTGCAGCCATTTATCTCTCGATCTCTTTGTATGTCTGTATCTCCCTCTCTCTCTGTCCCCCTCTCACTCTCTTTCTCTATCCCTCTCTGTCTCGCTCTCCTTCTTTATCTCTATACGTGCTTGTGTTGTCTCTGCGTCCCCACAGCCTAGCAGAAAACAGGACGCTGGACACACACCACGTGACTGGCTTGGGCGGGAGTCGTATACACATGTGATGACGTGTGTCCCGAGCGCGCGGCCCCCGCGTGGCCAGATACGCTTGCACTCCACACGTATCCAGCGTGCGGCCTCCACACGCTTCACATGTGAACCCAGCCGCGTGCGTGTCCAGCTCACTGGCCGCTCAGCCAACCGCGTTCTTCGTGGACTCGTGCACGAAGCGCGTTCCACGCCCCTGGGAATCCTGGCTCGGGAACCACACTGGTCGCAGTCTGGCTTGAGGTCGCCAGCCGGGTGCGCTCTTGGTAGCTTGGCGCTTGGCAGCCCCACAGGCGCCGTTGTCGCCGTCGGAAGATTGGGAACAGTCAGGTGAATTGACCCGCTCTGCTCCTCTATAGAGGCATGGTCGTGACTCTCTCCCTCTCTTTCTCCATCTCTCGCTATCTCTCTCGTTCTCTCTCTCTCTCTCTCTTTCTCTCCCTCTCTCTCCTGTAGTTCCTGATGGCCCCCACAGTTTCGAGTTCTGGTATTTCGTGAACATCAGCGGCATGAGCTCCGAAGACTCGGATTCGGAATCGATCTCCAGGTGTGGCTCTGCTAGGAGCCCTTTTTTGGTTCAACCTTGAGCGGCGGATCTTGCCTTGCGTCCTAAGCCTTGGTGGAGACCGCCGCCTCAGTGGTCTGTGACGTCAGCTCCTGTCCTCCATCCTCCTCGCAGAACGAGGAGAACAGGAGGAGGATAGGAGGAAACGGAGGAGGAGGATCGGCGGGAGGAGGAGGAGGAGGAGGAGGAGGAGCAGAAAGATGAGGAGGAGGAGGAGGAGGAGGAGGGAGTGGATGAATAGGAGGAGGAGGAGGAGCAGGAGAAGGAGGAGAAGGAGTAGGAGGATGAGGATGAGGATGAGGATGAGGATGAGGAGGAGGAGGAGGAGGAGGAGGAG